TTATTTTCTCTCGATCTCGATCAGCACCGTCAATCTGAAACCTTTGCGAAGGTTAATATGGTTTTGAATTTCCGAGTCACGATCCATGGTAGATAAAAGACATCCATGTCGCTCCTTCATGATCCCTGGTCCGAAGCTCCGCCTCCACATCTCGTTGGGTGGCCGAAATCGGAAGGAAAAAACACACGTTCAGAAGACACCTGGCGGCCAGAAACCTGCAGACCTATGTAGAGCTCTGCGGAGCTACCTGTAATTGTAATCACTCTGCTGTTTTTTTTTGGGGGGGGCGCATGGCCATGGCCTATGAATGCAGAGCTATGGTGGGGTGTCAAGTTGAGACGAGTCAAACAACCACGGCCCTTCTTGGCCCAGGCCACTCGCTACACAGAACTGGTCCAATTATTGGGAGGTCTGTAAATGGTCTGCAGAGGCCTGTAGGTGTTCTAACCTGGGCATCTTGCAGTGTGGATGCAGTTCCTGGACACCACAGGGTGTCACGGCGCCGGCTGCACAATACATGCGCCAATTCGCTCCGGTGTGTTTGGAGCGGAGAGCTCGGTCCTTCGTGGGCACAGTCTGGCTGTGAGGGGCTCTCCCCTCCATCCTCCATTCAACACAGAGACGCTCCCCTGCTTGCATGCTCAACGGACTGCGAAGGACAAAAATGTTTGTGGATCTATGTGGATCTGCTGATAGCATGAAGGTGCCACTGAGTCTGCCAAGTGGGGGAGTGGAGAATTCATGAGCCGAATACGGTATCTATGGAATCTATGGCTTGCTTGAAGTCAAGAATGGGCTGACAAAGGAGGAATAACAAAGCCCAAACCCAAACCACAAAGCCCATGAATGTCCCGAGAGTCATGCAAGTTGCGCACATGCCATTCATCAGCGTGAGCTTTTTGCCACGTCCAGTCGGAGCTCTTCTCCAAAAATGCACAGCCTTAAATAGCCTTTTGTTGGGTGTTTCTTGCTGTTACTCTCATTGTCTGCCACTAGGTTCGAAAGGCGGTACTGGAAGAGTTTCCACTTATATACTTACTTCCACATCCTTCTCTAAAAATTCCACTCAGCCCCTTGTGGGGCAAATGTTGCTAGGCCGCATGGGAGAAGTCTCAGATTTGCTCTTCACCTGGCCAACAAGTGATGCCATGTGGTGCCAAGTCTGCACCTTCCAAAAAAGGATCCAGCAGTTGCGCAAGCTTCGTGGCAAGGAATTCTGGAATGACATGTAAATGGCACGTTGGCCCGGCCGGCCGACACAAGCCTCATGTGGCGAAAAACCAGCAACCCGAAGAACAAAAGACCTACCTTGGAAAGCATTGCTATTCGGTTGGAGGCCATCGCTACTAGAAGCAAGAACGCTATGAGGTTGGAGGCGCTGTTGGGGGTCATTGCTAGTAGGTTCACGACATGTCACGACCCCCCGGCTCGCCTCAAAGGTGGCCTGTCAACTCAAAAGCCTTCAGAGGTCGGCGAAGGAAAACCGAACTTAGTACCTGGACCTAGTTCTTTGTTGTTCTTATTGTCAATTATAGTCTCTTTTAAGTTGTTCTTTTTAAATAGTCACAGTCCGTGTCCTCTCCTCAGTTGAAGTTGCCATGAGCATCACGTCGACATCACATTTGACATTCGACTGGCAGCCTACGCCCCGAGCCTTGGCGGCAGCCGAACAGGGAGAGCAAGCGATGAACCTGACGATATTCCATATCCAAGCAATTTCAACTGCAAAAACTGTGTCAACAAGCATGGGTTGGTGGAATTGAAGCCCCATGTCACGATTGAACCACTATGTCCAAACAGATTTGACCAAGTGACAGAAAGTGCTCAGTTCCAACCACTATGTCCAGCATGGTCTAACCATACCTTTCCGCTCGACCCGAAGCCGGTCGACCGAGGTCCCCGACCGGGCGATGCCACGGCGGGGCCTTGGCCAAGAAGAGCACCCCGAGAGCACCAACGAGAACGAGGACATACCACAAAAATCAGCACATGAATCATCCTCAATCCTTGCAACACCCGATGAAAGCCTAAGAATCATGGGAACAAATAGGCAGATTGAGGATCAACACACAGCATCAAATTCCATACACATCCATACAGGTCCATACACTATATAATATAAAGTGCTACGGCTTCATCAGCTTGCTGGTCCCCTGTCAATTTCTACACCGTTTCGATTCACCGGCAATCGTCCCTCGCCCTCGCGAGCTGCGCGCCACCTGCGACTCGGCAGTTTTGCGCCCCCTCGAGGCGGCCAAGCGTGAGGGCGTGCGGCGGCGGGGCCTCGGACGCTGATGATGCGGCGGGGAACTGGTCATCTGACAGGAACCAATTCGGCACCACCAGGTGCAATGCGCGGGCCTGGTCTCACATTCACAATTAATTCTAATAGCACACATTGTTACTACTAGTAAGGCACTTGTTACTACTAGCGTGGCACTTGTTACTACTAGTAAGCAAAACTAATTATCTTGAAGTCTCCTGCAAAGCACTTCAGATTTCTATGGGCCCCCAGCTTCACTCCTTCTTCCGTGACCTCGTTGGCAGCCCGCGCGCGCACGTTCCCACGTTCCATGGCTTGCTTCTTTGCTCTATCTCTAACCTAAGAGCAATGGCCTCCAACCTACTAGCGATGGCCTCCAACCTAGCAACGGCTCACTATTCCCAAAAACTCTGAACGGCACCTACCACTGGGATTAAGGACCATATCAAAGAGTCTCGCTGGAGTTGGCTCTCAGCATGCACTCGAACAAAGCTGCTCACTCCCAAAGCTTCTGGCAGCAAAATTCTTTTCCAGCAGGCGGTCATCAGTATACTCATTTGCCTTGGCGACCGGTTGCTGTGGTCACCCTGTCAGGGCTGCTATGTTCCAAATCCGTGCGTTGCATTGCCGAACTTGGCCATTCTCGCAGCTGGCGATGTAGATCCCCCGTTTCAAGGCAGTTGCAAAACAAACCAAGACCTGAGATGATGGCAACGGTTATAAAAACTCCACTTGAGGATCTTTAGCATGAATCACTTCTCTCTCTCTCTGGCTTTGAAGTCCATCATTGGACGCCACCAAGTCAGACGTAAAAGTTCGGACTCCATCGTGATGGCAGCTCACCTGCCACAATGGTTCAGGATGGTGCAGGTGTCTGGGAATTCTCGTCGCCCAAGTGGTGTTGGAGGAAATGATGGTTGCTGAGTTCGTCAATGAAAAAACAATAACCAAATCAAAAACAAGCAAAACAAGTATGCTAAGCGTTGATGAAGCAAATGTATAAAAATGTCCCCAAAAAGTGTTTCCTGTTCCCTCTTAGACCTTTTGGGATGGGCTAAAGATCGGGTCGAAGTCTGAGGATCCACTTCACACCACTTCGGCACGTCGCGCGGTCCGGTCGTAACCCTTTTTTCGAGACTCGCGTCCCTCATGTCATGTAGCCCAGCCCCAGCAAAAGCCGGCACTGCTCGTAGATGAGACTTCCAACAGTGAAGGTTGGAGCCAGCCTGCCGGCGACAGTTTCATGTCATGCCAGCCCATGTCATGCCAGCCACAAGCGTATGGGCATTCCTTTGTTTCACTACATGGGTACAAATAGGGTGGAGTCACTGGGCGGGGTCCATGCCGTCCATGCCACCGTCGGTCCAATCCAACCAGTCCTTCAGGTGACCCGGGTCGCACCTGAAGAAATTCGCCGTCCAACCACGGAAGAAGCCTGCAGGACCTGAAGAGGAGAGGAGCAACCTCTTGGGCGGAGCAAAATGGTGCTTTAAAAACCGCAAGGAAGGACCAGGCGAAAAGACAGTCACCTGCAAACAATTAACTACTTGTTGGACTTGTGGAAACAATAAACGACATGATGATATGGGTCTGTCCTGCTTTTTGATAAGCACTTGTGAATAAGTTGCCAACTCTTGGTGCCTATAGCCTAGTGGCCTTGCAGCACTCATTGGAAATGACGAAGAAGAAATGTTAGCTTGATCTTGGCTTCTATCTCAGAGCACCCTTAAAGAAATCCCACTCTTGAACTTCACCCCTAAGGCTTCTGCCAGTTGGGAATACACGAGCCACAACCTCCCACCCAATTTCAAAATCACGGAAGGGTAGGGGGGGTTGTGGGGGGGGGCTCGTGGCCTTATGCTTAGGGCCTTGATAAGTGAGCATGGGTTATCCATTTTCTCATGTTGCATTTTTGCACAAATAGCGCCCTTTTGTTTTTTTGTCCACGTGTTTTGTGACATTGTGGCCATGGCACAAAAGCTTCAAAACCACCAACACAAACCATTTGCCCCCCCAAAAGAGCAGTTTTTGGACCCTCTGGATAAGCGCTGGATAAGCACTGGTTAAGGGGCAATCAGCAGGGCAGGAGGGTTTTTGGATAAGCCCTGACTAAGCCTTTGACAAGCCAGAATCCAGCCCCAAGGTGATGCAAGAAACGTTGCCCCAAAAATGCAAGTTTGAGCCCCATTGGCCTATTGCATGTGACAAAACAAAGCTACAAACAAGTCACCGCAATGATCCGGCCCTGGTAAATGTATTTCTGGCGGAGGGGGTGATTCAATACTATCAGAAGGCTAACCAAAGCTGTTAAGGCTCTAATAGGGCTTTATCCATAAGCTTCTATTAAAGCCTGAATAGGCCTGGTGAAGATTCTATTAAAGGCTTAACCAAAGCTATTAAAGCTTTAATACCAATGGATCACTTCAGCCAGCAAACAGCTGCCAAAGCATAAGGGCAATAGCCCCCCCCCATAGCCCCCTCAACCCTTCCATGACAAAACATTGTGAGGACATTCTATATAGTATCGGGAAGAAGGCACATTGTGGGGGGCACACCGGCACACCTCTAGAGAACCAGCACCATCCTTCAGGGGCATTGGGCCTTTTTCCGCCACCTGGGCCCTGGAAACAGCACATCGGCCTCCTTCTTCGAGCACGTGCCCCGCACACCGCAGGAGCGTCTGGCCGCTGCTGCTTTGGTACCTGATCCCACACCGATCACCATTACATCGGCGGTCCACCGGGGCGATTCCAAGGGGATTCAAAGTGATGGATTTGGGGTGTAACAACCTTTGGTGATTCCAAAAAAAAGGACCGAAGAAGTACAGGGAGATTGCTGGAATCATGTTTGGCAAGGCGTTTCTATCAGGACGGGTCATCTGAGTCGGGCTGTTGGATGTCTCTCAATACTGCAGGAGTGACATGGAACGACCGTGCAGAATGCAACAAATGGCCGAAAACTCAGTTGAAGAGCTTGCCCAACAAACCTCAGCTTTCTCGCGATCCGATTTGCGAGCCCTTTCCACCAGCCGCAAGGTCATCCAAGCTCCCAACAGCTCCCATCGGACCTGGTCATCACGACATCAGCAGGTGCTGACAGTGTGGCAGCACTGAAGCCAGCACAGGCGGCCGCTGCAACATGAAGCATAGGGTCATCTTGCAAGCCACACCTGAAAGGATTCATTTTTCAGAGCTTCTTGCTGCTAGCAACAAGTGCCTCGCTAGTAGTAACAAGTGCCTCGCTAGTAATAAAAAGTGCCTCGCTAGTAGTAACAAATGCCTTACTAGCAGTAACAAGAAGCTATTAAGCCACCTGACTTGCCAGGCACACCTGGCGACCATTTCCCGACAAAAAGCACACGGGCGGCAACAACCAGGCACGGTGGTTTTCTACGGCGGCCAAGTCTTTCTGGTCTTCGGACCTCTTCCAAACCAAGACGGCGCCAAGTCTGTCTTTGCCACAAAAAAATGCCCCAAGAATATCCAAGAATTGCATCCCCAGAGGCCCAAACCACTGTGAAAAGCGAAAAGGGTTGGGCTATGGATCAAATGGCCATCTAGGGCCGCCAAGAAGCCTCCGTGCCGTGGTTTTGGTGCCATCGTAGCCTGAGGAACATGAATCAATGTCAGGGTCCAAATATAGCACTCGATGTTTCTGCTCGTTTTTGGGCAACACAGGTGCTCTTGCAGCACAATTGTTGGCTGGCTTAGCAACTTGTTGACGAATAGTAAAAACAGTAATTACCATTCCATGCAATTCCATTTGCAAAACACAAGACCGCATCACAGCTTGCTTCGACGAAGCAACCACCCCATCACGAGAGGCGCTTGTCCTACCGGACCCTGGATCGATCTAGGTCAATCCGAACGAGAGGCCGAACATCTGACCAGCAGTCAGCAATGCACCCCTCGCAATCAGTGGGCTGCAGCCTTGCCAGTAGGCTGGTCCGAACTTGGCCTCGAGCAAGAGCCGCCGGTCCCGTGCACCGCAAGCAGCATCGCAACATGTCCATGTTTGGAAAGGAGAAACACCAACATAGCCAGCATCTGCTGGATGAATGAATTGTGGAAAGCCCTGAAGCTCAGTCCAATTCCTGTGTGACTCCTATTCAATACCAACTCCATCTTGAACTTTCCATCCAATGCGCCCCTCAACATAGCTGCGACATAGCCGCGGGGAAGATCTCCAATAATGCCCGGCCCTCGGCTGCAAACTGCCGCTGCGCTTGCTGCCGCGTCTTCACCAACCAAAAGGGGGCACCCACGAAATAGGCCAAGGACCTGGAGGAGTCCACAGTCCAGTGTCCAGTGTGAACTCGTCCCACTGATATGAGCTGCTGAAACGACACAAGGTATGCCCAAAAAGAATGCTCAAGCATACTCAAACAGCAAAGTAATCCAGGAAGGAAGACTTTATCAATTAATGATCAAGTCATTGTCGTGGTTCCTGCGTGCTACGCACAATCGATGTAATTAATCCTGCCCCCTGCTTGGATAAAACACCTTCTGCAGGAATCTCCAAAGGGTCAGGACCAGTTGGCCTTAATTGAGTGCTTCAGAATGTGTATTGTTACCTTATGTTTCACATTCCCCTTGGTCTTCGTTGGTGGATGTGTGCTACGTCCACTTATGAATGGACACTCCACCAAGTGAGAACAGCGACCCTGGCCAGCCCGAGACCCCCCCAGTACCCCCAACCCCCGGACCCAGCGGTCAATCCAGCTCCCAGCATGGCAGTGCTGCTCTTCTCCCGGTGCCCTGTGGCAAACTGCAGCACATCCTGGGCGTCCGTGGGGGAAAGAGCGGACTGCCAGGCAAGACCCACCGTGAGACGGTGAACCTCGTCCACGAAGTCCACGGAAGTCGTGACATCTGGTGACTTGCTGGCAGAAAGCACACCAAGTCATCCGGGCAAAGGAAATGAATGAAGGGAACGATGGCAAGTCCCAGTAAAACATAGTATAGTGGGAACTTATATATATATATATACAGTATTCCAATCTTCGTGGAGTGCACTGGCTTGCCACATCCAGTTTCCAGTCAGGTTTCATCTGCACAATTGGCTCCAGTTTCGCTCCAACGCATGGACCCCCCAAAAAGATGTTTTGTTGACGGTGATTTGTGGCATGTTCTCCCATGTTTCTCTCATTGACAGTTCTCCCATGTTTGGTTCCCAAATCCCCAGTCTGCCAGGAGAACACCCATCTTCAGCCACCTACCAAGGCTCACGAGCTGTTGGGTAAAGTCCCATGCGCAAGCCCTGTGAAACTGCCACGGCGCACCTCACAAAACCACGGCGGCGCCAGAGTCTGAATATGTCTGAATCCTGCACCCCCTCAATGTTTGAGGAAGGGTTGTGGACATGGAGCATATCCTCACAAATGGAACTGTCCTTGAAAAAAGATCCAAACACCAAGCCACGTCCAAGTCCAACGCCTGTTGACCTGAACAACGACGAATTCGTTTCCTGCCGCGATTTCCGCGTCTGGTCCGAGTCCTTTTGGGGCTCCTTGCATGTTGGTGGGCAGCCCCGGGCGCCACAGGCCCTTCCAAAGGCCCTCCGAGCGCACCACGTGCAGCGCGAAGCGCCGGAAGCTCCTTTGGTCGGGACTGCCCGCCACCTCGGTCGGGGGACGAAACGTCGAGACCGGTCCTTGCAGCCCTATGTATATGAATGACTACTGTATATATGGCATCACTTATGGCATCTTATGGCATATAGCAAATGCCATAGTGATGGACTGGAATAAGGAATCTCATCACGTCTCATCAATACAAATAGGATATGGAAATCCGAAGTGCTGGCTTGTGCTCTGCTGTTCAACCACATGACTTGCACCAGAAAAGCCTGCTCCCACCTGCCAGCGGATTCGGAGACAATCCATCGGGTTGAAGATGGCCTCATGACAAGGTCTTTGAGATGTGCGAAGGTCATGGCTCAAAAGGCGTGCCGATATTTGAAGCATGTTGAAGCAATGGTCCCGGCAGCACACCACTGGGGAATCACGACAGCTTGAGGGAAATCCTCGTGAGTTTGTGTGTGGAGCTGGGAATCTTGGGAAAACCGCATGCAGATTCCCAAAAACCACCTGACTTGGGATTGGTCTCATTGTCAGAAGCTTGTTCTTCGTCACACAGGGCCGCTGAGCTCGCCACCGGCTGACAGCATCCAGCCACGGCCGCGGCGAGCGTGTTCCCCCCGAGGTCTTGGAGAGACTTCGATAACATGCCTTGGCAAAGTGGAGCTGAAACCGATCCTTTTGGTGAGCAACAGGCCTCTGTATACATGGAGAAATAGAACCTGTAGACAACAAAATGAGAGCATCTGGATTGGCAAGTGTGCGCCTTTCTGAAATTGGCCTCCTGACTCAGCCCAAACTCTTCACAGAAGTGTTGCCTATCTCTCCAACAGTCAGCTCAGATCACTACATGTTTGGAAGTGCTTCAGGTTTGAATGATCGTCAGTTCTGTCAGTTTGAATACCTCCTAAAGCACAGAACGTAAGCCCAATATACAAAATTTTCTTCGTAACCAAGACTTGCTATGGAAGTGGCCTAAGCAAACTTGAGTACCACTTCGTAAGTTTTACTGTAGGTAGTCCACAGTCCAACCATCCCAAGTCCTCACTTTGAAGCAATCCATTGAGACAAAAGCCAGCATGTGTCGGCATACTGTCCGCAAAATGTTTGACTCAATATATGTGTTTTCCGGAGTGTCGCATGCTAAGCTGCTAAACCTGAAGTGTTCTTTGAACGAGCTTCCCGTAATTAGTGTGATTCAAGGCCTTGCATATGTCCAAGTCGGGGCTTTTTGATGCCCTTCCACCCTCTCTCTGTGCATCCGCTCTCTGAGCCCCGAACTGCAGCAGCAGCAGACCTTGACGAACCAGCGGCTGAAAGCGTCCGCTCACCGCATGGCGGCCATGAAGCAATGAAACCCTCCCGGTGTACGGTGAAATGGAGTTCAATCCGTCTCAGAGGCCTTTGTAGGGCCTGTTCTACGGGAGGACCCTGAATGATCTGCTGGTATACGAGACCCAAACCGCTTTCAGGGCGGCAAGGTCCAATGCTGGATGCTCTCGATGCCTTTCCCCAGAAGCTGACTGCCCTGAAGGCTTCCGCAACACTGCACTTGCGGGGAGAAGTTCAAAATGTTCAAATCAGAATGCCCAGTTAGAAAGAGGAATAAGTTCCACGTCTCTTCTTGTTTCAGCGTAGATCTTGCGTTTTCTCATGCTTTCTGTCATCCATTCTCTGAGCCATGTGGACCAACAAGGGTCCGAGTTTCTGCCCATGCAGCTGATGAACTCCCAACCCCTACGACCCCAAAGGCGTAACTTCAGCACTCTAAGCCAACTGTGGGTTCCAATCGTCACTGCAGCAATGCGGTGCCAGTCACCGGCATCCAGTCTTCTCCAATTTCTAGAAGCTCTTCTGTCAAGAACGTCTAAAACAAGTTACAAGGCCTATGGTGGCTGCCACGCATCCTCCAGTCAGACACACCTTTTTCGCAGAATCGATGTGGTGGTGCGCTGCTGCGCCGCCGCGCGACTTTCGGACATGTTGTACGCGTCGTACGATGGCCTTGGGGCCCACTACCTGAGGCCATCTCTCACTACATATCATGACATATCGATTCAGTTTTTGTTTGAAGGACCCCCGGTGGAATACCCTGAACTCACGCTGCCACAGAAATTGATGGCTTAGCTGCTAAGTTAAATCGCCGCTCGTGCGGCACCTCCTCATGCGGGTGGGCCAGTGTCGTGCCAAGAGCTTGCATTCAGGAGATGCTCGTGGAGCTTGTCCCGCCTGCTGACGCACCGACAGGGCCAACAGAATCAAACCCTAGGGATTCTTGTCTTCTGATCATCTGAAGGCTTTGAGCATGCCTGGTGGGCTTTTCAACGCGGCGCACGTTGATGCGGCCGTGGAGGATGCAGTTGGAGCCATCCTCCATCTTCAAATGGAAGGGGCCATGAAGGACTCCTCCTGGCAGATGCCCGCACTGTGACTGGCTTTAGAGTGAAGTCGACAGGGCCGGGTAAAATTGTTGGATCCCATAAATCTTCAGTCATGGGCATGGGTCAAGAAACTGGAGGAAAATCTGACTGAGCGCCACTTTCTTAGGCAAACTTGCCAAGGTCGTAGCAACACCCAAAACCGGCTTTGTCTTAGAGGTCGCCAGGCTGAGTTTCAAGGCATTCACTTGGGCACCTTCCTAACGTTCACCCCTTGCAGGTTGAGTCTGCATTATGTTCAAGATGAAAATCTAGTAGCTTATTGTTTCTACTAGCTTCTTGTTACTACTAGTAAGGCACTTGTTACTAGAAGCGATGCACTTGTTACTAGTAGCTTTTTGTTTCTGCATCACCATAGGATGTGTGGTGAAGGGCATCTCCAGTGTTGTTCTCTCCAAACCCTGTCCTTGAGAGCTGACGACTTTCAAGCTTCGCTCCATGCGCGCCTTCACGCCACCATCCTTATGACTTGCAGGACGGGGTCTGGTAACACTTGCTGCAAGGATAAAGCTGAGCAAAGACACCTACATGCAACGTCCGTGCGAGCGTCCACAAAAGAAGCAACCTGCACTTCAATCATCACCAATGTCACAAAATATCCAGCCGCGGCCTTGTTGACTCTGCTGGGTCTTGAGAAGCACAAGCAAACCACAGGGATCTTTCACCCCGGCCCAAGAGTCCACGGATCCACTTTCGATCTCCCAACACCGAAACGTAGCCTGAAAATCTATCTGAGAACAATGACAAGGATATATACAATGATACTAAATAATTATCTACGTACTTGGGGAGCTTGGGGTTTCTCAAATCATTAGATTGGATCCAAACATGTTCAACAATATTTATATAACCATAGGTAAAAGAACGTAAATTCTTCGAGTGGATGATATAAATGAACCTGATCCCATCATTCAGCTCAGCGTCGTCTCCTATCATCTCCACTAAAACCACGTCCTCCTTGCTTGCGCGCAGGTGGCACACCTAAGCTCAAGGCCGGTCCAAAACCATCAAAAACCAGGCTCCTTGGAAGAATCAACACTTCAATGAAGTGCGTTTCTTTGAGATCCAGTCCATTCTTCTTTCTTGTACGAACCCACGGATGAAGTTCCCTCTGCCCTCCTGCCCTCCTGCCGGCATCAACCTACATGTCAAAAAGGGCGGAAAGCACACAAGTTTCAGGTTTCATCAAATGTCCAGGGAAAAAATCACCTGGAGTGTCCACTTTGTAGTGTATTCACTCATTCTTTTTGGAGCGTCCACTGGGACGGACCCGGTTGTCTTTTCCCTCTCGCTGACGCATCGGATCCGGTCTGAACCCGAGACACATGATCGAAGTGAGGCTCCTTCGCTGCGTGGAGGGCAGCTGCCGCGGCTCGAGCACGATGGCACCACTGCTGGTCCCAACCTGCGATTGTGGTTTTTAAGGGGGGGTAGGCCGCTAGTAGAGGTAGCTAGGGGTGAGGCAGCAGCTAGGTAGGTAGCTAGTAGAAGCTAGGAAGTCGCTAGTACCGACAAGTAAGCTACCACCTTGGACGCAGGATAGCTCACACTATTCACTATTCATTGGGTTCCTGGATGTTTTAGGAAATTTGAGTTACCTGGCCACTCGTGTGCATAATTATCATAATTAGATAAATAAGTATATCTATAGAGAGAGAGAGAGAGCCTTGAGGTTCCAGAAAACCACCAAGCAGGGCGTGTCGAACCGGAACTGTCACGGCACATTTGCAGAACTTTCCACCAAAAGGTCGCCATACCAAACTGCCCAACGCACGCGCCCTTAGATTCGATCAACTCCCATGTGGTTCTTGCATGGTTCTTGCTGCTAAGCTGATGCCAACCAAAGATATGCGCCAAAGAGCAATGAGAGATCTCCCCTTCCCATGGGCAACTGCTGCCATTCCTCTGCCAAGCAGCTCTCAAATGATGGCATATCCTTATCCTTGGGGAGCACAGCTCTCATAGGGCTGGTCAGGCTGTGTGAATAGGGTGAGCTCTGAGGCCTTGTGGCAATTTGGCCTAGAAAACAAAGGACCCAAGGGTCCAAGGGCACACTTTTCCACTCACTGCTGGAGTGCGCAGCAGTCTGAGTTGCAGGGAACCCGAAAACTCTCAGCTAGCAACAGCTAGTATAGTGGACATTCCTTGGGCAGGCCCTCGTAGCTGGCGCAGGATGCAAGATCAAAAGAGGTACAGGGGCAAATCCCATTTCTGACCGCATTAGTAGTGCGCGCACAAATCTTCCCGGGATGTGAGACGATCAGAAAGAAACATCTTGGACACCCTCCACCGAGACGTGTCTCGTCAGTTTTGCCCGAGAATTTGACCTGAAATGACCTGAAATGTTCATGGTGGATTCATGTCTAAAAACAAATTCTAAAGCATGGAAGCGCACCAAAGTCACACAAGTCATACCACCACTTAAAATTGGGATGACCTAGGCCATCCTGGTCACTCTCGTGAGAACTCGTGAGGCGCCGCTCTCTCCCACTTCCCACTTCCCCTCCGAGGAACCTTGCTCCGCTTCCGCCGCTCCTGCTGCAAGGCGAACTCCCGCGCATGTTCCACCGGAATGTTCAGGGCATCTGCCAAATCCACCAATGCCAGTTTGCCGCACAGCTTCTTGGCGAGCTGCAAGAGCCTAAGAAGATGGAGTGAGGTAGGAAAAAAGATCGGGACAAATGACAAATGGAATAGTTTCTTCAAACATCTTCAAACATGCTTGCAGCAAAACTAATTTACCCAAACAAAAGGTGACAAGACACTTCTAATTAATGAATGAACTTCCAGGCCATAGGCATAGACTGTAATAGTAAGGAGACATGCTCCAAAGCGTGCCGGACTGCCCCCCGAGTCCGCAAAATCTAGCCACATCTAGCCCACCATAGCCCATCATCCCTTCTGCCAATTCCAAGGTACCTATCATCCGCGATTTGATGTACTTCGGGATGTGCCTGCCCCACCGGTGAGGTATTCACCTTCTCCCCCACCGAGACGCGCACGCGATGGCGGGAACTGCCCAAGCTCGTGCTTCGGGCCAGCTCGGCTCGATCCACGTGCACGGAGGCTAAAAGATCGGCATCGCTGGAGCGCGGAGGCGTGTTCATGACGGGCATCCAGGAGAGGTAGAGCTCCACAGAGGAATTCTCTCCATGCCTCGGCGGCCATGACGGCTTGACGGCGGCCGAACCAACCACTCCCACATCGAGTATCAGAGACACATTGACTCCAAAGACTTGTAAGAAAAAGACTCTGACTCTAAGTACTAATAACCTAATTGCGATGGCCTCCACCCTGTAGCGATCTAGACCTTTGTGTAATCTGAATCTGAATTCAGTGAACACTACTGCACCACTTCATCTCAGTCACTCCTGCGTATCGCTCAAAGGAACCTCCACATGTCCAGGTGTCAAGTCTCGCACGTGCACCTGGCCACTGGAGAGGAGGGTGACCCCAAAGCTCCCGGAGGACCAGCAGCGGAATCGCAGGAGCTGGTCCTGGGAATAGACCTCTAGGCGTTCGAACGAGGACCGGGAGGACTCGGAAAGAGAGGGCAATCAGTTTGAACCTGCACATGCCTTAAGGCCAAGCTCTGGTTTAGGTGGAACTTTTGGTGATTCTTGGCTCCATTTGAGATCTCAAGGCGAGGCTTCCATTTCGACACCAACCAGTGGAGTGATGAACATGTCGATCACTCCAGCGCCCGCCTCCAAGTCCGTGACATTTCCCTCCACCCACTCGACTTGTCGAGAGTAGCTGGACACTTTGGCAATCGCACTCTTCCAGACGCTGCAGCCAATCAGCACTTCCACGTAGACAGAACTGGGCAAAGGTCCAGCTGCAGTCACCCCTTCAAGTGAAAGTCTTAAAAACCCCAGTGGCAAAGGATGCTGAATGAAGCAAGAGTCTGTTGCAGGATCCTTAGCCAGTCGAAGTGAGACAACAGGCTTCATGTGGTTGTCTAAGTCCGTGTTGACAAATAAAGGCATGAAAACAAATTTGACAACACAAGAAAATGTTCCAATCCTTCATGAAGCGTCTATCGGCACCGCGACCATGTTGGGAATCACAATCAAACCTAGCCAGCTCAACAAACTAATCCAAATCTCAAGAGAGTGCCAATCAAGGGAACCATGCCAAGACAAGACGTGTATAGGTCATGATGGAATCTCAGCCGCACATCTCAGCTTCACATTCACACCCTTTCACACCCTTTCACACCCCATGTGTCTCTCACCGCTCCGCCCTGGTGCCAGCGATCACGTCATCCACGGTGTCCCGCACGAAGTTGTACAAGTTCGGGATCAGCTCCGTGCCTCACAGGGCGCCCCGAGCCCCGGCATGGACGGGGCGCGTGGCGTGCGCGTTCCGCGCCGGACGCGTTCAGGCCGACGCGTGGGCGGACCTAGGGCTCAGAAGTACCATCGATGTTGAATGAAAACGGCTTGACGCAATTAGTTGCGTTTGTTTTTCGAGGACATGTGGCGAGGTTTGAAGAGCTCTGGAGAGAATGAACTTTTGCAATGGGGAGGAGTCGTCATCTGGGTGCATTCATTGTGCAAAGCGAGGACTGGGAACGAAGGTCAAGACCTCCATTCTCACGCAGAACACCTAATTATAGTATTATATAATACCATTTGGTATTTATGACATTATGACATTCAATGATCATACATATACGTAGCTGTCACCCAGCCTTCACTCTTCAATAAAAAACATTCCCACTGAAGATCGGTCCATCTGCCGGCTCCGTCCCCAACCCCGCACCGACACGATCGGTCCGACCGTCAGCGCCTGTCTTGATGGTGAGATCGATGATTGGCCGGTCCAGGCAGGTCACGGAGACGCCGCCCACGGGATTCAAGGACTCCAAGAGGGGCTGCAAGCCCAGTCGCAAGGTGCCTAGTCCAGTTGGAAGACGTGAATGTTCTCCCAGCTCCGAGGCCGGAGATGAGGTGAGGAGGTCTGTTTGGGATGGTGTGGGGACTGAGAGGAAACGGCAGTTTTATAGAAGAAAGGTGAACCTTACGTAGGCCTTTGAAACGTTCATTGGTCCTTAAGGCAGCTTATTTGAGGGTTCTTTGGACGGTTTCCTTAGGTTTTGGAGAGATGTTCAGAGAGTTCATGGCATGGGTCTATGTTTGAGTTCCTTGCCCACCCATCACGATGTAACAACAGTGAAAGTATCAATCACCACTCATACGACTCATACATCTCATACTGTTGTAGCTCTGTTCAGCGAAGAGGGCACCAAGTGGTATGAAATAGTCTATCCTGTCAAGGTAAGCAAAAGTAGCCGCGTGTTGGCCAAAAAGGAGGACGGGGCTCCAAAATCCTATTAACATCTATTAACTATGTGAATGTGTGGTACAGTAGAAGTAGAAGAACTGAATTGTCAAACTAGAAGGAAGGCTGAAAGGGGCTATCACCGGCTGCGTGCAACACTTCTGCACATGAATGAGCCCTTCCTCCTCACGATCCACAAAACGAACACGCCTTGCACAGTGATGTCGCAAACTTGGATGGATGCCACACCTTTGATGCGCAAAAACAAATGGTTGTGACATCTGTGCAACAAGACCAATTATATTAATAGTTGATCAGTCGTTCCTTATCTTTTCCACGCCATGTTCCATGGCAGCTGCAGAACTGTGGGCCTCCAATTTGAGTCAAGGTGCCAGCGGAGAATTCCAGCATGCCATTGCCCTCCAAGCTGAAGCCAGCATTAATCTCCAGCCCATGCGACGATCTCGTCCTCGCAATTCACCACGGTGGCGTACTTGGCCAATCATCCGGATCAAACCCCATAGCCCCCCAAGAAAATCACCAAAACACGGTTGTGAGCTCAACTTCAATGCTGGATCATGCATCGGAATCCCACCAATGGACCTGCGGAATTGGGGGCTCCTCCTCTTCAACTCCACTGAGTAATAAACGAGTGATATACGATCTGTCTCGAAAAAAAGGTGCCCGCACTCAGGGAACTGGCACCTTGATCGACCACAACTTCGCATATATGAAAGCCTCTCCCACCCTGAAACCTCAGCAAATGTTCCAAATTTGATGGAAAAAAAGACATCCTGCCAAGTTATCTGACATGTCCCCTCCATGGCGCACGCCAAAACATTCCGCCCCGCCTCTTCCGCCCTCCCACCCAAGCCGACCAAGCGGCACCCGCACCGGGCCGAAGCGCGGTGAAGCGCTTCCCAGGCTGAGTTGGGTGAACTGGAGCTGTATGAAGTTGCCTGGGATGCACGATCATGCGGGACCTGTTGTCTGACCAAGGACCCTGTACGACGAGCCTGACGACGAGCCTCCTGGCGCCACCCTGAACTGGCGTCCGACGGGAGACCGGCACCAACTCATTGAGAACAAGAGTCCAAACATTCAAGAAGCTTAGGCTGGAGGACATCGCTCTTAGGTTGGATGCCATCGCTCTTAGGTTAGACTGGAACCCGAGGCCGAAAGGATGTCTACTTGCCGTCTGAGTTAGGGCCCGAAGTCGTTCACATCGCGAAGTCGTTCACAGCAATCCTGCTACTTACTTCTTCCAAAGCGCCCAGTCTGCCTAATCTCTGCTGCAAGGCGGGCTGAATCTCATCTTCGATGATTTTCCGGACTCCTTTATCCAAATGATCCCAAATGGGTTTGATCGCAGCATTCAACCTCAGCGATGGTCTGGGCTCAGTGGATCTCAGTCGGATGACCCATGGATGACCTGCACCTGGGACCAGCAGAAGGGCCCTCATCCCCACGTCTACACCTGACCTGTCTATCCAATTTCCGGTAGAAGCAACCTATACAAGGATTACTGGAGGGTCCTCGTGACAACGCAGGCCACATCTGCTCCTTCTGTACGCATCATTCTGGTGAAGAACAGTGGAATATGCATCTGAATACTGGATGGGATCTATACTCCACCTCTGGTGGCCATCACATCTCCCACATTGTTGGATCCTCCCACCGTCCCCGACCACAGAAATGCAACCTAAAGGCCATTCCACCTCTTCTTCCGAGGAAAGCACATCACTCTCAAAGTGCCGTTCCTGGAGATCGCCAAAACGCTCCGGAAACGATTCGGAAACGATCTCATATTCTCAACTTGCCTTTGTTCATCATTTTCTCTGTATGGTGGTGATGGACCCGAAAGCAACGCCATGCGTGGCGCTGCGTGGCCTTGGTGTTGTGGTGGATCGTCAGGCCGGTCGCACCAGTGGCCACCGCACCCAAGGCCAGCTTCTGAGAACCTGGTCGCTTGGTCAACGGGAGGTGATTGCACCGGGTCCACCTACCGCGTCCGCGCTGTTCGACCCGCGAAGCGGCGAAGCCGCGCCTGCACGCGCCAGCACCGTGGCGAAGGACTTGCCAAAGCCCCAGCGCGTCAAGACAAAGGCATAGTGATGTCCGACGAGGCGGCCCAGCCAGCTGCGTGGCGCCCATTTTAGGCGCCAAGACATCACACATCGATTGGAATCGGAGGGTCACGGCATCTAGCAAGAGAGGTGTGCGGGTTGGGTTGTAAAATGGCATGTGGATGCTAGAAGTAGTTACAGTAGAGGGTGAAACTCTGGCTTGCAACCAAGAAACTACAGATCATGTGGAAATGTGAGATCCCTGGCCCTTCCATGCGACAAGTCAAAATGAGAATATTTGCGCTTAACAACATTCAACAACTGCTGGAGTTGATTATGTATTTATGTCTTGTCAAGCTGCGTAGAAGGCCGGATGCACAGTCACATCATGTTCATGGAGGAATCCAACCCAGCTGTCTGCCAATATCCACAAACTTGGAAAGCCCACCACATGTCATGAACCGGCACCCCTCCCGCACTCACATCGCCCGCATTTTGTCGCTCTCAACTCTGTCCAGTTGCCTCCATGTCACCAGCAATTCTTCACCTGGGATCAGTTCCACCATCAGATGGAGGACCTGCTTCAGACTTTAACATGGATCCAATTCCACTTGCCGAAGCTTCTCCAGCTGGGCGGGCTTGGTCGAAAGATGAGATCAGGTGTTCAATAGCCATCCGATTTGGCCAAGACGGCCCCAAAAACTTGGCCTGTGGCCGCTTTCTTCTCCAGTCATCTGTCAATTCCCAAGCTGCTTGGTGATCATCCTGAGCCTCCACCAACTGGCCATACTCCCCGCTCACGCGCGCCCAAAGACCCTTGTGGATCCTGCCCAGGCGCAGTCCCCACACTAATTACGGTGGTTTGAATGCTGATCATCCCTGAGCTTGCCAAATCTTCATGATGTCCATCTAAATGTTACAAATAAGATGATCTTTGACTTTGACTGTAAGCTGTAAAACGTCCATTCTTACATCATCCGCCCCCCGCGTCCAATCCCCCCACCCACCCCCAGTGCACGACCTTCGGCATCTCAGGCCTCCAGCATGCCGCGCTTGCACGACCTTCGGCTCGTTGCTGAGGAAGCCCCGCGTGCCGTCCCAGCGGGGGCCAAAGACCAAGCTCGTGACCAGCGCCAAGGAGACGATGGCACGAACGGCCTAAGAGGTGCGGTCGAAGAACGGTAAAGTCCAATTCAATGTCCAACGGAAAGAGCAACAAAAGCTCCTTGGATGGAAGATCGAGAGCCATGCTGCCCTTTTCCCCTTCTTCAATTGCATCCAACCTGAGGATCTTGAGGGTGAACCCAAAATCGCCGACTGCGGCTGCGGAATTGGCAGGAAACATCAAGAGATGACCCCCTGCAAGTATGTGGTCGAAAGCGAAGTTGAACAATTTCCCCGGTGGCCCAGTTGTCAAGGAAACTAGCTCTAGTCTGTCAAAAGCCCTCTGTTGGCCATCCACATGGTTGTTGGGGTGGGAGGAAGGCGGAAGGATGTTACTTGGCCCCAGCAGCAATGGAGTACTCCTTCCACATCCACAAGCCCGTCAACAAGTTGAGGTTGGCCAGGCCGAAGACGGCATTTCCCATGAGCTCGTGCACCGACCATTCTCCGTCATTGTCGTCATTGTCATCCACCAAGATCCGATACTTCATGATGCCCAAGCCCACTTGGATCAACAGCCCCAGTAAACAAGCGTAGCCTCATTGGGCACTTCGCCGACCGCTCGGCTGACGTGGACCAGGACCCAAAACAAACGCGCCGACCGGCGCCTCCACGGTATCCCCGAGGCATCGAGATTGGAGGTGACCGGGGCTGCAGCACTACGAACACATGCAGAGTCTTTAGGAGTCTTTAGCCACTTAGGATCTTGCAATGTCTTGCTTTGGTGCGAGCGTACCAAACCCCGCAGGGGTTCGGGTCCAACCGCCACGGCTGTGCAGCCCCACCTCCACCCCCAAATCTTGGGTCCTCCAACCTATTAGCTTCTTGCTACTTGTAGTAATGCCCTAGCTACTAGTAGCGTTCGTGCATACTAGCGATGCCCTGTTACTAGTAGCGATGGCCTCCAACCTAATAGCAATGGTCCCAAATCTGCGGTCCATTCCAAATCTCCCAAGGTGGGTCGTGCCAAGGTGCCCACGAAGATGTGCGCCAAGCGCAGCCAAACTTCGCCCTCAGAGAAGCTGGACAGTTCGAAGAGCGCCTCCTTCGTCTCGCTATGGGCCTGGTAGTTCACGAAGAAACCTCAGACCATTTTGTATAAACAAAAACAATTGTTTGATTCTTCAGTGGATTCCGATTCCTTTCAGAAGTTCGATGAAGTCAAATGAAGTTCAGATACTGCAGTGGTTCTTGCATGTTCTTGTCCAAAACTTTTCACCAAGAAATCCGCCGATTTGGTGGGGGTGGTGAAAGGCACTCCCAAGAAAGTCTTCCCAGGTCTGGGGGTCTACATCTATATATCTACATAAACTGATCTTTCAGGCCTAAGAGACTCTGACATACTGAGACTTTTGCCATCCAAGCCGCCAATGCCCGCCAAGACTGCACCAGTGGCCTGGCAAAAGGCATGCGTCTTCCGGCGCGACTGGCGGGTGTCAATCCACTCACCAGGGAGGTCCTCATAGTTGTACATCCAAAAGCCTTAGCTTGCGGGACCATCTGTGGTTCTGTCCGACATGGATCGCGAAGATGTGGTCCCATGATCCCCACGAGTTGCCAAGGACCATGTGGCAAACACATACGCATGCGCACGCATGAGAACCCAAGCAACCCAGACTGATCATCAGCGAGAAGGCCAATCCCATAAAGAGGGGATGAAGCCGCATCCAGCCGGCCCCAGGAGCACTCTCGGGTGCGCGCGCCAACGCACCCTGCAGGATCAGCGCTGTGCTGGAGACCATGAAGGTGACGTTCAAGAAATCCTCCAGCGCGGACGCTGCGATGGAGCAGAGTTTGGGTCGTTGATCGGTAAGGATCAACATAGAAACATGCATGCACATATTTGCATATACCTGCAGTCACAAAGGGGTGCCTCTTGGAGGATAGGGGTGCCTATTATCCACTCACTTAGGGACTAAACACCACCCCTTTGTGACCCCTGGTATATATATATATAAATATATATATATCTATCTGTGTGTGTAGATATTGATATAGATGTTATAGATAATATCATCCATATTATGTAACAGGATCTTGTAATTAAGTGTTCTTCGCATTTATTCGCCTTCACCTCGTCCTCCCCAACGTAACAGTCACCGGCTTCGGAATTAACCCAAACGGAGAAGGAGAACCTGAGGGAACCCAGTCCTTGCAAGACACGGGCATGGCCCATGACAGGCAGAACAGCAGAACTCGTCGCGGTGTCGTAATTGGAGCTTTTGGCTCGAGCCCACACGGCTGGCGGGCTACAGTGTGATTAAGTTGTACAGGAAGGTCATTGGTATTACCCTGGTGCATACAGCCCCGAAGTCTGGAATCCATTTGAGTACTACAGAAGGAGCATCTTGCTCACCGCGGCCATAGCATTGGGAGCCCAGAATTGTACCCGCCTCGACCTCACCATCGCCATCCAGTCACAGTCACGAGCAGCTGGTACATGACATAGTTGGACCATGTTGGACCTGTCCGAATGACACTTCTTGGATGGGATTCCTTTTTGTTCATGTTCTTGGCCAGTTCGACAAGCGTCTTTCATCTGTGTTCACCATCTTCGACCTTGCAAACCATTCTTAACTCTTGGCCCCGGCCTCGGTTTTCATCACGGATCCGAAGAGCAGAAAGCCCGTGGGGCCCAAAGAAGGCGGCTGCAGCCATCTGCCAAGTGGCCTAACAACCAGGTATGAGAGAAATACAGTATTGATGAGGTGGTCTCTGAAAATCGTGCTCGCGTTTCCACAATGGAATCTGGTTTTGGTGCACGATCGGACACAAATTGAAGATGGATGATTTTTTTCGAAACCCGCTTCTCAACTCCATGGGCTGCAAAGAAGAACACATTCCAGTAATATTATTACAATATAGTATTGCAGTATTCTCACGTTATTACTATTGCATGTCTGCATGCCTGCTGAGCATGCCTGCCACCTGGCAGGTGGAACTGACAACATCTGATTACCTGCCAGGATCTGCTAGTTCCCAATCCCAGTTTCATGATTTGCTCCCTCACCCTCCTCACCCAGCCCCACTGAAGCACATGATTGGCCAAAGCACGGGGGTGCATGAAGCGCAAAGGCATGCAAAGGTGGATGCATCCGAGGAACTACGGGCTTCACCTGAAGGACCGACTCATCTTGAGGTCATGTGAGTTGATGTCCACCACCCAACTCAGCTCTGCTAAACTGGGGCAACAAAAATACAGTAGACTGGCGATGCACCAGTGATCACCCACAGTGATCACCAAGTGGCACAAGTGTCTTGTCTCGAAACCCCGAAACACGCCATCTCAAGCGAAGTTTCCCAATCTGTCTTTTCTATCTTTCCATGTCATTTTGGTGATCACACCCACCTCAGCCAAGCTTCGCTTGCCACCATTTCCTGACCCTTCGGAAAGCTGAAACCCTGTGGCCCGGCTCTCCAGGAAATGTTGGAGAATGCTTGCAGTTGGGTTTCCCAGCAGAATCCGCTGGAGCTCAGTACTCAGAGGCCCAATACGGAAAAAGGTGGTCAGTGCTCAGAGTTACGTCCTGAGAAACATGGAGACCCGCCTGCCCCAAGGTCCATCGAGATGCACGCAGCTCGTCGGCTGAAGCCTGGTGGCTGGCCATGGCTCGCAAAAAAAACACGTGTGAGGATGTTATGGATGTCTCATGTCATTTCATGCAAAGTCACCAAATCACATTGACATGCAACAATTCTACATTCCTTCACTCACCGGGCCTTCACTCGATCCTTCTTTGTCTGCAGGGCGTTGGGAGGGAGAGGACCGCCATGGCCAGCACGGCATCCTGGCCGATTCAGCAGTGTTGGACTGGTCAGTGATCATCATGACCGTGCCTGTGGCGGGTCTTCCGGCGCGAAGAGCTCCACAAGAAAGGCGGCAAATGTGCCCCCGGTCTGCCAGCAGCACCAACCAGCAACGGCCAAACCCGGCAAGTTGCAGCCTGTGGCTGCCGTCACTGCCGCCACAACGGTGGAAGCCGCGGACGCCAGCGTTGTCGATGTGGCAGCTGCTGTGGATGCAGCTGCTGTCGATGCCGCTGCTGTGGCGACCGCCCCTCCGGCCGACGCCGCTGCTCCAGGACCTGCGGCTGTCGCTGCAACGGCGAAGGCACATTCCAGCAGCATAGCAGGCTTTCCAACTGAAGAAAAGTGCAGGAAAAGAATGCAAAAACAATGTCCAGTGCGTTGCTCTGATGCAAATTTGTGGTGAAATGCACTAATGCACTGCACGGCAATATGTATTGGTCGCATGACAGCTCGAGATCCTTTCTCAAGCTGATGGTGCTGCGAAATCAAACGGCTGGAAATGAAATGCAACGTGAATCAGTGAATGAACATCGTGGTAGTCAAGGAAAACTATAGCCTTCCTCCTGCCTGCATATCAATTCTTGCTCAGATTCCCGTCCCCCACTACTTGTACGGTACGTGTTTTATATGAATGCCAAAAAAAATCAGTGATGATAAGAGTAACAATATGTTAACGGCTGATGCCTCAAGATATTGAGAAAACGATCATCAACAAAAGAGAAACCATTTTTCAACTACTGTAGTGAGGGAGCTGTGAGGGTCTCCACTGCCAAGCGCATCTCCATGCTCCGAGTGCGCGGCCGCAGCGGTTCTCTGCGCCAGCCTTGGGCGCTGGTTGTTCCTAGGAGTAAGGCCAGGAGCCCCTAGTAGCGTCCTTGCTCCTAAAATGCCACACGCGGCTGATCTCTTTTCAATTTCGATGTTCCTTCGCTTGGATCCGCGGGAGAACCTCCTGTGCCATTCAAGCTGGCAATCCACCGTTGAACGCTCTGAAATGCTTCTGTGTTCGCATGTCTTCGCCTGTTTTCGTGCCCACAGAACGCCCTGCCCATGTTTGGGAAGATTTCGTGTCTGTTCGTATGTCGGTTCGAACGCGTGGGTCAAAAGAAAAGCACCATGGACCGCGGACTCCGCCGTTAACTCCCCCCAAAAATGGGGCATCCTATTGGATCCTTGTTGGATCTTGTTGGATCCTTGTTTCCATCCTTCACCCAGGGAGAACATACCTTCAGTTCTTCCACCCAGTTCGACTGAACGTTGCCATGTCGTTCCGACCGGGTTCCCGTAAGAACGAGATCTCCAAGTGGCGGCTTCACCGAGTCTGGCGAGTTGGAGGTTTCCTGGCGCTGCTCGTCGCGGGGCGGTCGTGTGCTGGGTCCAGGTCACCAACACAGCCTTCGCCAAAAACATGATTAGTTCTGAATCGGTTGTAGGCCATCGCTAGTAAAGGTTGGAGGCCATCTCTTCAGGGGTGACGAGCCTGCATACAAACTTGGCATTGGGATGCATGGGGACACCCATCGATGTGTGATGTGTCCGCAGGAAAAAAAAAACACCTTTCGAATCTCCAGGTGCCTGATTCACGCCATGGAACATCTACAAATACACCTCACCAGACTCTCACCTCTCTCCCGGTCGCGGTCGCAGCCGGCCTCTGCCTCATCCAGTTCGCGCCAAATGACTGGCTCCCACAGCCTTAAATCCATGGGTGCCCAACTGGCCCAACATCGTTGGAATGTGACGTCTGTCGAAAGATCCATGCTGCAACATAGGCAATGTACCCGGTCTCCCTCAGGGTTTGCTTTCGGTGTTTTGGGGCCGGACCTCAAACGAAACGGAACGTCCCGGTCTCCGGGTCTCATCTGCGCTGGGACCCCGCACTGGGGAGCCTTCCATGCACTTGGCACCTCAGGCGTTTACTTCGCAGGGGGGGTGGTTCAATGAATCGCTTGGCCCAACTCGTGCAAAGGTGCGGCAGAATGTGCTTGCTCAACAAAGGCGCCTCCTTCACCCAACCTTCATCCGATTTAATGAGTGAAAAGGAGAACCGATTCAACTTCAACCTATAATAGAATCGAAAACATTTCCTTGACCACTGCACCGAACTTCCGGGCCAGGAGTGCATCCTTATGAGAAAGAACCAAAGCGAGATGTGAATCCTTGGACCTTAAAGCAAGAAGACTCATCAACACCAAGAGATGTGAGGGTAGCATGCAGCAGTGCCCCGCCCTCCCACGCCGCTGCGCTCGCAGAGAACACCGATTTTGGGAGCACGCGCAGAGAAAAACGCCCCGCCGTTTGGAGCTCAGCACCAGCGGCTGGTTCGCGGATGTTCGCAATGGACCCTGAGGCCCTGGTTCCAGGATCATAGGTCTGTTCAACAGGAACAGGGTGGAACAGGTAACCATTTTCATGCCAACCAGCTGAGCGTGTTGCATATCTTCCAAGAATGTGTGTCTCACCCTCTTGCCAATGGAACCAAATGCCGATTTGAGAAACAACCTGCCCAAGCTGCCAAACCAAATGATCCTTGGTCTTCTTTCGGGAACCCCTTTGGAAGTACGGGAACGAACGTCAGATGTCTACTCCCATGGCCTCCATCTACGCCTGGAGCTTGCCGGCAGCGGCCATGACCAGTTGAAAGGCCACGGACGCATGGGCGTTCTCCGGGTTTTTGTCCTCGGCACATCGTGCGGTACATGTCGCACCATCACGCGGGCGGTCGTCCCATCAGGTGCGCGGAGTCCTACTGGGAGGACTCAGAGATGGACCCAACATGATCTTACACGTTCAAAAACGGATGGCGGCGACTCAAACAGAAGTCGGTGTGGGAAATTCAATCTCTTAGACACTATGTCTGTTTCTCTTCAGGGACCTCAAGCAGTAGAAAGAGTGCCACACATGAACCAAAGAGGTACCAACCTGCCAAGGGGCTGGATGCCACTTGAGTGCCATCTGCCTCCGAACCTTCGACAACTCATCGCGCGAAGGCTGACCGCTGAGGCCCAACAGCATGCATGCCTGGCTGTTCGCAGAGCCGAGCAAAGCTTTTGCAAGTTTCCAGGTGATTGATGAACCCCGAACCGCATGATGCATGGCGGCATCTATTCAAACAATAAGGACCGATGCACGTTGGGCATTTTGGATTTGTGGCAACTAGCAATCCGTATGTAGCAGCAAACGTTACCCAACATATCGAGCAATACCAATAAATCCATCCTGCTCCCTACTACACGATTAATTGCTCCCTTCAGAGAATGAGAATCAGGTTCCCTGCGATCCCTTCTGGCCTGCATCTGCGACAGGGACTCTGCTTTCCATCCTTCCCGGATCGCTTGAGTCATCGTCTCCTGATCGCTTGAGTCGAGCAGCTGCCCCGAACACGTCAGGCTTCGCGGCTGGTGACCTTGCCCAGCTGCTGGGCCCGGCCTGGAGCAAGCAGCCTGTTCTAGTATGTTCTAGTCCTTACTCGCCAGGTGCTCCCTTCACTTCCATTCTACTTGGCCCACAAGTAGGCATACAAGTCATTACAATGCCCCAAACACGACCTCGACCTTGGATGAGATTACTTGGCGTTTCTGTGGAAGTCACTTCACCAAGTCGAAAAAACACTCATGTTTCACCTCTGTGGCCCAGTGGTACCAGGGAAGGTGACTCCAACATACTCCAACAAAATGTACATCTATCACCTGGCTGTTCGGATTTACATGAGAACAAAGCGCAATATCTGAACCATATTGCATTCGCTTTATTGGTAGATGTCCTGTCAGCACCGTCCCGGTCCTCAGGCGTCACGCTGGGCCGCTTTGGCCAAGTGGAAGCACCAGACTGGCTGAAGAGTCTTCGGCGCCGAACGTCGCTCGGTGGGCGCGCTTTGGGAAGGCCACACTTGAGTTGCTTGCAGCAATGAAATTCAAATGAAAGGTGGAACCAGCGTAGTAATGCGTTCCTTCTATGAAACAGCCCAAAGCCGTCGAATATCGTCGAATGGTAGAGGCTCAAAAGATGTGATTTGAGTGGTGCAGCTTCAATATTATGTTCAAGAAGGTCAACTGCAAACGTTTGTTTGGAATTCTCACAGGATGGATCAGACCCCCTATCATCCCCCATCTAACCGTTCATGTGACATACCTACCCCCCCTGCATCTCCCTGCCCGACCCTCGCCAACCCCTCGCCGTGGAGTAGGTGAAGCCATTTCGCGACCAGGGATCAGCACCAGGAGGAGGACTATAGTAGTAGTCCTTATTGGGCCTGAGAGAAAGTGGGCTGCGTGGAGTGGAGTGAAGAACCATCTTCTCTTGGTGTGAAGCTTCCAGCGCTGAGCATGCTGAGCGGATCTAAGGGCAGTGTAGTTGGAGCACATGGCCGTGGCGTTTTGTGCATGTTTGCTGTTTGTGATGACATACACATGGGGGGAGGGGATCTGATATGTTTCTGTTGATGTAGCGTGGAATGGACAGGGTTTGTTCGATGTTTTGTTGACCATCATGCACGAACCTCTCACGGTATTGGGGGCTCGCACGGTTCGTTTGTTGCTGACACCGTTTCTGTCCGATGCAGGCCGTTGGTGTCTTAGTGTGGTTTCGGTTGGTTCGGTGGGTCTTGTCCTTCGGGGTTTTCTTGTTTACGACCATTGTGGCGGGTGAACGTGTTTACTTTAGATCAATATACGGACGGTTTGACTTGGCATTGCAATGACCCCTTGGTGAGATTCGTTCATAGCACAGTCTTGGACTCTGATCGTTGTTGGGACAACTGGGAACAGGTGTTGGATACCCGTGTTGCCTTGCTTGAACTTTGGTGTCGAAGTTGGGACACTTTAACTTGTTTGCAACGACAGAGCATAGCACCATTTGTATATGTGTCAGATTGTGTCAGTGGATGTGGCGTCAGCAAATGTTCGACAAAACGCCGACTGATTTGTTGGATGAACTTGGGCGACTCCTCAAGACGTGAAAAAATTGCCAAAGTCTCGTTAGCTTATGGGGCTGTTAAGTGGCAGTGTTGCACCGTAATTCTAAGGTGTTCTGAACACTTCTTGCTGCTTCCCGCCGTGTTCCAAAAATATGCACTTCAGACCTTCCAATTTCTCACCAGTGGCCGTGCGAATAATTCTTACGGCCAATCATGTAAAATAGCAAAAAGCACCACGACCATCTATGGCGCGTGTACCGTGTAGTTCGCCCCTTGTTCCCCAAGGATCCGTTGGACCATCATCGTTTGTTGTGTCTTATTCCGATTCTTCTCGCATCAAACTCATCCAACGTTGCCCCAGTCAACCAAGCAGCCCTTGTGATCGATACTGCCCCTCCTCCTCAGCTCGGGCTGCCGCGGTTTACAGGCGCCGATCCCGGTCCGGCGATGGCGTCTTCCGGAGCGGCCGACGGGGAAGGTGGATGAACACCTGGGACGCCCCAAAGCATCAAGGGTCAGCCGGTCAGCCTTTTCAGTGAGGTTCGGCTTCGGGGTTTCAAGTGAACATGCGAGCCCTTTTTGGCCCAGTTTTGGAGCTTCTCCAAGCTATCCAGTCTGAGGCTCTTGGGCCCCACTACCAAATAGAAAATCTTCAGATGGGCGACCCAAAGGGCTCATCGGACAACCATCTTGCTCTGCAGTTCAGGCTCACTCTCATCAAAGTAATCATCGAAATCCCATGGCACTGACTCCCAGGGTTCGTCCTCAGGAGAAAAACTAATGATTCACACGTGAATGGTGCGTCACCCCTCTGTTCAAAGCAACGAACCATCGGGTCAAAGCACTCGTAATTCCCTGTGTTCGTCCTGTGGAGTGGTGTATCACCATGCAAAAAATTTGGCATCTGACACAGCAAATCACGTACCAACCACCAATTGCTTTCTGAAAAAGAATGCATCTCCAGATATCTCCAGTAGTTGGATGGCTTGAGGCTTGCCTCAAAGAGGCACAAATCCAGAAACCATAGAACATGGAAGCAGTCTTGATCTGAATGTGAGTTCTGGTGCCGATGTCGAATGAGAACAATTGAGCAAAGGTTTGCATCTCGAATTCATCTATTCAGATATTAATACATAGAACGGGACACAAAGGTGCACTGAAGGAATGATGTACAGTATGCGGTTGACATTTGCTCCAACTTCCGCACCTGCTCTTGAAACTGGACATGAAATGACATGAAAGCATTATTGAAAGCATTGTGGAATTTGGCAGATCCCCTTCCTTCGGACAGACTGCTACTCTACCTGAAACTGAAACACCTCCCACGACTCGTGACTCATGTCATGGCAGCCCCCCCCCACCACCATGTCCGACTTGCACGCGGAAGCATCATCCATGGTGTACTCAAAGTAATCATCGACAGAATCGGAGTCATCCCAGTCATCATACTCTTCTTTCAAAAACCTCAGAGGCAGCAAATAGCTCATCAATGGCTGTCCCCAATTCCCAGCAGTCATGAAGACTTTAAAACATCATAAGAAGTAAAGGACAGAAGCATGGCTCATGGAAACCATGTTGAAATCCCTAAGCATCAAATCTCTTCCAAGAAAGACCCGAAGAAAACCCCTGAAACGCAAATGAAACTCGCGAGAAAAAACACAAAACTGTTTCACTGTCATCACCTCTTCACGTCCCTTCCCCGCTCCAAGGTGCTCCCACATGACCTCACGCTCCTCCCAGCCGAAGAACTCCCGCTCGGCGCGGCTTCGAGGCCTGAAGGAGGTGTCCCCTTCTGAGCCAAAAGGATGATTCCGAGTCTTCTTTTCCAGATAAAAAGCGAGCTTTGTTCGCATCTCAGACATGTTGGAAGATCATGTTTCTATGTTTTAGTTGCACCTGGATCTTCAAACGGCACAAACTTTTGCCGGATGCATGTGGCAGTAAAAAGACACCGTAATCAAAAACAATTGCAAACATGCTCTCAATAATCCATGGACGGGGAAAGACGCAGTTTGGACACCTAAAGACGCCGTTTGCGCCTCAAAACGACGTTCCGTTTGGGGTTCTGCCGGTTTCCGCCTGGTCGGATTTGGTGAGTTTTGACTCATGTGTTGAGCCAGAACCATTGGTAGCGTTCTCCAAGCTTGTTTCTACCATTTGTAAGCCCTTTCTCTCTTGTCTTTTCTCCGCACAAATCCCTGACCTCCGCCTGGAAGGAGCACTTCGAGAGCGCGGCCTCCGAGGAGAGACCTCGGCCCGAGCATGGGCGAGAGAGGCTTCGTGTAGAGGAGCGAGAACTCTACTATACACATGCGGAATCGACAGACTACACCCGTGTACAGGGCCAGGACAACTTAAGTTGATAACAAACTGGTGAGTACATCACCTACAACTGCCTACAAGCCTTTCCCCTTAGAATGTTACAGGGGATCACAGTGGAATGCCGGCGGATTGGTTTACACCCGGAAATTAGTTTGGGGTGGAAACTAATCTGCCGGAATTTCCTTGGGAAAGAGAAGTGATGTCAATGACATTCTCGAGTGAAGTTGTTACCAAATGTTCAGCCTCCTGAAGTATATATATATATATAAGAAAAAGATCTGTATAGTCCCTGATGTCAACCCCGTGCAGTCTCAGCCTATACCAAAAAAATCCAAAAAATACCCTTAGCATCCCTTAGCAATCCTTAGCATCTTTGCGGGGCCTCTGCTGGCAAAGATAGCATTGGTAGCACAACTTTGTGTTGTCGTGTTCACACGAATTGAAGCGCCACCGAAGAAAGCCCATGTCGTTTGGATCTCCTTGTCCATATCCCATGGTTGCGACGGAACACCCTCCATTGGAACAACATGGAAGCGGACAACCCCACGTTTGTACAGGAGAATGGTCTTTCCGGGAGCGTTGTCCACTCCCATGATTGTTGCAGAGAGGGTACGTAAGCATACATCGCCTCATTCGGCACCAGCATGCACTAACCAAAGGTCCATCCGGTGTTTCATGGGTTGTTCGATCCATGCCTACCATGTGCCGAGGCATGGGTGCGCAGTTCTGCATGCGCAGTTTCTGGGGCACTTGGCCCAACTGGGCTCCGGGGGAGACTGAACAAACTCTTCAAACTGGACGTTGCCATCATATTGCCGGGCGTGATCTCAGAACGTCCAAACTTCTTATCACGCCAAGTCTTCATCTGCCGGAATGCTCAAACGAACGTTTTTGATGGACACCCCCCAAAACAATACATGACTTTGCCACCGGAGGCCCCTGGCGTCCGCCCCGCCCCGCTCCACCGGAGGCGCCGGACCTGGTGGAGCAACTCGCTCACATCGCTGGCGCGGAGCTTCATGGAGCGGACCTCGCGAACCTCGGTCGGTCCATGAGATCCATCGGCGTTCGCTGGAGAAAACAAGCACCTGTTGGGGAGCCGCAAAATAAGCAGGGCTCCTGAGTCATGGTCATGAGATGCCCGTTCTTGGGATCCTGAGTCAGATGTCATGAGCCTTCGATCTGGCTCAAGTCATATCAAATCAACACAACCTCATGGTAGATCATCATGGCCCCACGGTGCCCATCGAAAAAGAATGAAAAAGACTCCCTGCCACGTCACCAGCTCCTCTTTGAGCCAGGTCGAGGTTCCCTGAACTCCGCACACATTCAGTACAGTGCGCAGCTCAGCTTCCGTGAACCTTGGATCCAGTCGAAAGTGGAACGAGAATGAGTGGGTCCAAGTGCATCATGCATAGAAAAGGAGTGTTGTAGGAAGGACTAGGACAGTTCTCAAACTTTCTGATCACTTCACCTTCACCACTTCACCAACCATCGCATCATCCACCAGAAATGGGCACGTTCACACCGTTCCTCAAGTAGAACACGCATCTACCAGCAGCTGCCCGCTTCTACAAAAGGCCCGGAGCCCACGCGTCAATGTTGATTTGTGAGCCAGGCGATGTTCCTTCATGATGGTGGTGGCGATGGCTTTTAAGGCTGTTTCACTGCATTCAGGGGTCCTTTCATTTCATCCAGGGGTTGATGAGTTCTGATAGCATATGGCTCAACCCACACAGGGGTACCTGACATACCTCGGAAGCGGCCCAACGATGAAGGCTAAATGGAGGGTGTGTGGAGAAAGGGGGTCAGCAAAAATCGCTTATACGAAGTTAGTGCACCAAAAATACCTTCCACGAAGTTCTGCGAAGGTTTCTGGGATTTCGTTGCAGTCAGTTCTCCTACTGGCCCACCATTCCACGAACTGTCCACGAATAGACTTGGGTTCTACGAATGTCCAGCGCCTTCCACGATGTTAGTAGAACAGGTTTTACAAAACACTTTCTGTGCACTACCCTTCCGTTTGCCTCTGAAACGACGATGATCGAAGTGGGAGTGGCCAACAGCCGCCCAACCAGCGAACAAACTCTCAGTGGGGGCAGGTGAAACGGCTTTGAAGCCGCATGAATCCAAACACCTGACCGCAAAGCGGCTTCCAGCAGAGCTGCCCTTCCCAACTGCGAAGACCGTCAAACACCGTCTCTCAAAAGAAAAAGATATCCACTCAGAGAGATCCTTGCGCAAACCTTCAGCTGAGCCGCTTGAAGAGGCCATCTTTCCTTGAAACATGCGAGGCATGCTCTTCCCCCAGAAGCTGTAAGAGGTGCGAATTGGGAAAACACCAGGAACGTTTTGTAGTGGCATGACCTTTTAAGACATGTTAAGCAGGTCCGGGGAGGAATGCAGTCCTCCCAAGAAAAAATGAACATAGTCATAGTCCATCGCAGGACAATCTGCACACAATCCTAACAACACCGCCATCTTGAAAGCACCCACCAATCACAAACATCTCCACTAGTGCCATAGATAGATCTATTATATCATTCATATCACTCCGTCTGCTGGATCATGTCATATCAAGACTCTATAAATGAATCATTGATCATCGATCTATATCATATCAGCACTCATATCGGCTCATATCAAGATCAAGCGATTTGACAGGATGTCAGTCAAGCGATGCGTCTTGCTCCCAGCTGCTTCCGCTGCGCCTCCTTCCTCCCGCGGCCGTCAGCTCGCTCTCCGCGTCCGTCGCCGCTCGAGGCCCGGGCATCGGCGCGGCGCTTCTGCCGCGCCTCGGCCTGGATCAGTAAAAGCTCCTAGTAGCGTCCTTGCTCCTAGTAGCGATGCCAGGAGCCCCTAGTAGCTTCTGGTTACTAGTAGCGTCAAGGCGGTGCCAACTTACTTAGCATCGGCGCAAAAATGTTTGCCAAGGGCCAAGACCAACCTGTGATCTTTGGCCGCGTCCGGAGGCTAGAGACACATCAAACGATCACAGCACATGTTTGGGTGTATTCGGAGGGACGTGACTCATCTCGTACCAATTCTGATTCCCCGTCCACCGCTGCGCCGCCCATTCCGATTCAGCAGCCAAGGGCATCATAGGTAGGGATGGCCAATGGATGCGAGAAAGGGATGTTCAGGAAAGATGTTGTGACACGGTACCCGTTACCTGGTGGGACAATGAAGTCAATGAAGAAATCGAAGATGGTACCACGCGCCTTCCTTTGTCGCCTCACTTCCTTCAAAGCTCCTGGCCACGAAGCTGCAGTGGGGCGATACATGGCCGTTCGGACGCATGATGTCTGACCTTGGGAGTAATAGAGCGGGTCAATTTGGTGCCATGGTTTAATGTAGTTTACAGTTGACTTATTGGTTGTACATTTTGGGTATCCCCTCAACCAACCAACCAACCAATGGCAAAAGAATGTGAAAAGGCCATTCATGGATCGGACAGCCCAAGTTGTTGTGAAGGATGTGCGGCGCCGTTGTTAACTATGTTTGTCTTTTCATGGACAACTATGGAAAAGCACAGATATCAAACCATTTCAGGCCGGGCGAGAATCTGGCTCGGGATCAAACTTTGCTTTGTTTTCTCTTCGGGGAAGCTCGGGAAGAACGAGGGTTCCACCAAGTCCTCTCACAATGAAACACAAATGCATGACATTTTGTTGCTGGTGTTCATCTCATCCTCGGCAAAAACGCTAATGAGTCATCCCTGTGGGACGATTGTGCAGGCATGCAGATGTTTTAGCACTCCTCTTTTGCATTAGACCTGTCGAAACTTGCGTGGGGCGAACCAGTGTCAGTATATTCCTCACCCATGGTGTTTTGATCCCACCTGGACTTGGCAGACTTGATGCCCCTGCGGGTGCACAAAAGGGAATCCCAACAAACCCAGCCCGCGCCTTCAACGAGCTCATAGGGGATCCGAAGCTTTTGAATCCAGGATGCCTCGAAAAACGCCCACAGGGCCACAGGGCCATGATGAGGACCCGGTGAGGGGGATGTAGGTGGGAAGGTGAGTCCAAAAACAAACCCATGCTGCCACACCTGTGATGAAATGCCAAGCTGTGGCTGCATGACACTTGTTGCGCCATGACACTTGCCCCTGGTTTCAAGTTGTGAAGCAAAGTAACAAGAAGCTACTAGGGGCTCCTGGCCTTACTATTAGGAGCAAGGACGCTACTAGGGGCTCCTAGCATCGCTACTAGGAGCATGCTTACTACTAGTAACAAGAAGCTACCAGGAGCCCAGTTCTTCATCCGAGGAGCCAAGTGCTGTCGGTTTCGCATCTTGGGGAAATCGTCGAAGCCTAGGCCAAACAGCTGAGGAGCTGGTCACCAAACACAAAACAGAACTCCAAAAGCAAACAGAATTCAATTATTCAGGATGATCATCTTAATTCATGCATCCTCGTGCCACTTTCTTCCCTGCCTCGTTCGCCTAGCGCGGAGGCACAAAGGGCTAGAAAGGGGAAGTGGGGACGAACGCTTGACCAGGTAGGGACTCGCGTCAGTGAGAGGGAATGGAGAATGGGTCAATGATCTTCTTGAGCCCTTCCACGATCGCCCAAGCAGCCCAGAACGTGCAAAGCTTCTTCGAGCTCCGTGGTCTTCACCGTCTCAAGCCAGGGGTCGTTGCGAGCTCCTAAGGAAAAAGAACAGGAAGCAGTGACTGGGTCTGATGCCCAACAACATCTTAGCAGTCTCAGCAAGTTGTGTCAACTCGTGGATTTTTCATAAAAAGCTGGTGAGGTTGCTTCATTGGAATTCGTTGAAGCTAGTGTGCAAGGATCTCGGTTGGATGCTCAGCTTCTTTGGAGTTCAACCTGCGGTTGCTTTCTGCCTTACACGGATGGCGCCCAGCTAACTCACCCCCACCTTCACAGGTCTTGTCTCAGGTCACTCAGCCCCATAGAGCCATCAGAACACGCGCGCGTTCGCCGGCGTTCACGGCGTCGGGCGCGTTCGCCCGCCCCGCGGTGAGTGCCCAGTGGCTGAGGCGCACGCCTCGAGCAGAGCTTCGCACCTTGGGACGCCCAAAGCTGCGGACAGTCACAAGATGCCAACTCATGTTAGAAAAACGAAAGATTCACTTTTGCTGCAAGAAGCTGCATGGAAGAGTAAGTATTTTCAACAGCTCAAGAGCTGGTGTGCCAGACCAAGCACGATCAAGCTTTTGACCTCAAAAACCAATGTGCCCCCGTAGCTTCGACAAACAAACTTCAAACATCCACCGTAGCCATGTCGTTACAATTCATGTTCATTTTCCTTCCCCACTGGAATTTGCAAGCAAGTGTCAAGTTAAACAACTACAGTACAAGCCAACATTATCTTTCCCCAAGACCCTTGAACAACTTTTAAAGAAGTCTAAATAAGAAAATTCAGGCTTTCATGAAAAGGGTGCCTACGCAAGACTGCCTACGCAAATCTTTCAACACCCACCTACGCAAAATGCTTACACGACGCCTACGCCCCAAGCAGAACAGCCTCCGCGACTTCTCAACAGTTCCCTTTTTGTATAAACCTAATCATTTGCAAAAAAAACGTGGCTCATGTGATGCAAGCCCTGCAGGGGGAGTTCCCTCGATTCAAATGTTTGCCCAATGTCGGAGCTTTAAGCCAGGGCACGGCCACTCCTTAGCAAACACGGCACATCAAGATCAAGGCGGCAAATGTATGCAATTTTAATCGCAAATTGAGTCAACAAGTCCTGTAAGCGCCTCTAACACACACAGTTGGGCCTAGTGGACACCCATGTTTGAGCCGTGTCGCAAAACAAGCCTTGCATTACCACAACCATTGGCTCCATGAAAGTAAGCCCCACAAAAACACCAACAAACATCCACGATCACAATCTTTGGGCAGGTGGTTTATCTGTTGATCTTGAGTCTTGACAACTCAACAGACTTCGCTCTCGAAACTGCGTGTGAACTTGGTGAGAGTAGCCAGTCGAAGCACTCCTTCCATTGTTGCGCCCGTGGGAGAGGGATGGAGAGGGTGGACATGTTGCTACCATGCCTCTGCGTGTGGAAATTCGCTTCCCCTCCACTCACTCCATCCACACCAGGTGGCTCCGGAGTCCAAGGGCCACGGCAGCCAGGCCAGGCCTGGGAGAGATCGACATCGGCCTGGACATCTCCGGGCCTACTGTTTTGCCCAACATCCCACGCTCTTGTTCTTTTGAGCGTGAAAAGCTCTGGAAGATCTGGACGAAGGCATCATGAAAGCATTGGTCCTTGGTTCTTGACCTTTGAACAGTATGAGATCTGACCCAAGCCGTAGCCTGAAGGGATCCATCCAAAACTTTCAGGACACTCAGGCTACTCAAACGTGTCGAAAAAAGGCTGTTCATACTTGGGAGTGTGCCGGGCGGTCAGTGACATAGATGACATTGAGGATGAGGACATAAGGATCTACAGGTCTTAGCCATCGAGACCTCTTAAATCACAGCAAGTTCATGATGCTACGTTGGGTGTTCACGACGTAAGTTCATGCCGGTTTGGGTTTCAGCGATGCTGAAGTGTTGTGAAAGTCCAACTGGGGACGATCTTGGGAGATCCCTCGTAGCTAGAAGCTACTACCTTTCTCCTCCAATGCTGTGCTAGTTGCAGGGACCACCACTTCGAAGACGAAGGCACGCCTCACAAATGCGGCTGAGGCCGTAACGAAACTTGCAAATTCCAACGTCCAGAAACGCCCCCAGAAACGCCCTAGGCCATGAAAGATCTGCTTGGAAACTGCAACTTCCAAGACCTACGCACCGATGTCCATTTCCTTCTTTGTTGGGTGAGTGTGGCCAAGTCTTCGACTCAGCCTAGAAATGCCTACCAGCCACCCCAGGCCCCGAACAAGGCGCCTTGTGGTGCCCGGGATGCGCTGGATCTCGAAGTCGGCTCCTCGAGGTCGAACAGGCGGTGAAGAACAAGTCAGATCCCAATAGACCAGAACTAGAGGCCTTACATATCTTACATCCATGTTTTTTGGCACTGCACTCCAGTCCCCGTCTGTGCGGTGTCGTTGGGTCACCAATCTTGCATGCTGAAAGCACACGCCTCTGGGACCCATTTCGCCCCCAGCGGCGCCAGGCGCACCACCCGCGGCACCGGCAGTGGCTGCATCCGGCGCGAACGCACGAACGCCCTGCCGGGGCGGAGGAATCACAGGCGCCGAAGAATTCAATCGGGATGCCTATTATAGACTTTAGATCATCAAGGACTTCATTTTTCTATCACAAGATTCTCAGAAGCAAACATACTTGGAATATATGAACATGAATAACACTAGACATAACTATAAATAGTAATAATTATAGATAAGCTTCAACAAGCCTGTGGCTGCGCATTCTTGTGCAACTGGGCACTCCTAGTGCTTCCCAGCAACTCCCGTCAGCCACACCCGAACACACGCACAGACCACGCACAGACCACGCACAGACCACGCAACAGCGCCTGGTGGTTGTGACCAAACGGGGAGCCTAGCCCCTTGAGCCCAGTTGCCACAGCACCAAGTGAGATCCAGGTATGTCCAAGGATGTCCAAGGTCTGCTCCCTGATCCTGTGAAACACCAAACCCCTGCCCAACGAACTAGTGAGCAGCTCTGAACTTTCAGCTAAATATGATGCAGTAATTATGATTCATGATATTGAATTTCTGGAGGCACCCCAGAAAACAATATATAATCCTCACCAACCTCTATCACATCGGGATCTACAGTATCCTCTCTGGTGGTACATGCATACATCAGGATGCCACCTGTGCCGATTGATTGCGCCAACCCATTCCGGGCAGCCCGAGCTGCATCAGTATCCTCCTCGTCGAATGCCGTCACCTGGAAAATAAAGAATGCAAGTCGCCTTGCCCCAAGCGCCGACGCGTGGGCAGGCCTGCCTCTCTGACCCTCTCTGCACCTATTGCGTCAAACAAACCACCGTCCAACTGATCCAAACCGGATCGCACCAACCACCGTCTGGAGGCCATCGCTCTTTGGTTGGAGGCCACCGCTACTAGGTTGGAGGCCCTGTGTCAAAAGCGTGTCGTCCGTCTTTCACCCTGTGCGTCTCACCAGCTTTTTCCAGACTCTGCGCTTACGTCATCACGGGCGAGCCGCTCTTTGGACCACTCGCTGGTCAACCAGCGAGTCCAGTGGAGCAAAACGGGCAGAAGCCCACGGGGAAGTCCGATGGAAACGCGGCTGAACGATCCATCAAATCCAACGAATCCCATGATGGTGAGTCATTGGTAACCACTCCGTTCGTAGCGATGCCCTTTGTTCCTAGTACCGTCCTTGTCCCTAGTAGTAAGGCCCAGGAGCCCCTAGTAGCGACCTTGCTCCTAGTAGCAAGGCCCTTTGCTCCTAGTAGCTTCTTGTTACTACTAGTAAGGCACTTGTTACTAGAAGCGATGCACTTGTTCCTAGTAGCGTCCTTGTTCCCAGCTTCTTGTGCACTTCCCCTTGCTCCACTGTGTTCACGTCCGAGGCACTCGTCCAGCGCGTGCAGACGACGTTCGACTTTGGACGCTAGTCGACGTGCCGTTCGACGGCAGGTCAGCCACGAGAGGCCTCTTCTCTGCTGGAAGTTGGCCCCCCGGGTGGCTGGGATTCATAATGGGCAGTAGTTGGCAATCGCCCATGTCACCACCGAAAAATCACACCGGGTTGCAAAATGCCTGCTATCTCGGCATATCTGAGTTGTTTGATGTGTATCTTTTTTTTTTCTCCCCAAGGCTGCTACAGTGGATGAAGCAATACAAATTGTCAAGGTCATACATACGGTCACATCATGTCATTGAACTTGAGCATCTAAAAGTCAATCTGCTTTAGTCACGTCTCCGTCGCGGTGCGCGACTCTCGACTGTGATGCTAGCACTTCCAGGATTCCCGACCGGCTGCTCGAATCATCTCGAATCTACGAAGCCTTTCTCCTTGCTTGAGCCGGGGCTACCGCACGCTTTGACCCCTGGGCGATCTTCTATGAAAGGCTCTTACACTATGTTTCACTCCTGCAGGATTTCGACTGCAGGCTGCTGCCTTCCCCCCCAGCTAGCACCGTCCTCGGTCAAGGAATCCCACCAAGGTCCACGGACCAACTATGCGCGCGCACGGTCCGCGGAGCGTCTGCCCCACCGGCGAGGGTGCGCGAAACCACCAAATGACACTGACATAAGATGACATCATGTAAACTGTGTAAACTCTTGAGGACCATACACCCCCCCCATTTGAATTGAACATCTTCTTCAAGGAGGGGGGGTGATTTTTCAAGAGTCTATATTAGGTGCACTGCTGTTGTTGTAAAGTGTTAGCAAGTGACCCATGATTAGAACTTAGGTCTTAAGGTGTTGTTCAGTGGGCTGGCCTTGTTTCAAGACGCTGCCCCAAGAACTCCTTCCAGGTGGTGCCAGTGTCTTTATGTGTGCTTCTCTGCGTGGTCACCTCTCTTTCAAGAAATCACCGTGGTCACCGGACACCACCTAATTTCTCAAACCTGCCCGCTCACTGCAGCAGCTTTCGCACCGGCGAGAACATGAAGGCAGGGTCGTTTCGCGGGCCGTAAAACCACGACTTGAACCTCGGCTTTCAGAGAAACACGACGTGAGGGAAGCACCTCTCCAGGGCTTTTTGAGCCCAATAAGACTAATTACAAATCGCTTGACAATTGCATTTCCACCCATCACCCACTAGACTACCCAAACTACACCGAAGTTCCAGAACTTGACCCAATGGAACTGAGTCAAACAGGTGCCGCGACAAGCTGACCATGCTATCACTGCCCGTTTGGGCCGTGTCTGAGAGCGCAACTCGTCAATTGACAGCCGACCATCATGATTCCTCAGCATAAGATGCCAAATGAATCACCACTAAATGCATGGTTTCCTCGAAGCTGCTGGGCTGAAGTTGGGTGTGGGGTCTGGGAGTCTAGAAATGGTGAAGATGGGCCATCCCAAGATCAAAGCTACGGATGATCTGCCCATCTGGCATTTGTCCAGGCAGCCACCATGATCTTCACACTGGCTTGAGCAAGATGACCTCCATCTATGATCCCTACCAAAAAAATCCTTGACCCTGACGGAAGACTGCACACGCTTCTCCCCAAATCCGGCCCCTTTGGAGCGTTTCACCACGCCCACCTCATCCCATATCCATGCTCCACAATGCCCCACACGTTTCTCCAACCTGCTCCCAACCACTCCCAGCTCTTCTCGGTCCTTTTCCGGACCTCCAAGGCACAAGTCCGCCGTCTTGAAGCATTCCAGGGAGGTCACCGACGCCAAGTCCTGGCAAACAGACCGTTGGCTCATTGAAGTGGTGAAGCTTTGGAAGATATCAGCTTGGCCCCTGGCCCTTAAAGGAGAGAAGCCTGTTGCCATGCCAAGCCAATGTCTCTGTGGATCGCTTTTGGCAGAGCTGTTCACCAAAGTCACTAGCGCTCAGCAACTTGTAACGTCTTGGGGCATAGGTGGCCCTATGGTTCCTCAGGGGAAATTACATTGCCCCGGGGTGTAGTTCACAATCCGGTCCTCCCTCATTTTGCTGGGTTGCCCTGTGGCCCTATATGATCTATGATGCCCTGTGGCCCTATGGCACATCAAATGACGATCAATGCAACCTCTGCGAACACAGCCTCCGCCGACTCGACGTTGACACCCATGCTGTTCATAGCACCAATTACAGCCTCAGCAGCAGCAAGAGAGCCAACCGTTGCCAACAGTTCTACAGCACTTGCTTCACCATTCGTTCCGGAAAAAAAAAACCTCACAAAGCACATCCGTTGTGCGTTCAGCCTGGGGGCGGGTGTCAGCACGACCTTAAAGACCGAGGTTAAGAACTTGTACATCTCGTCCATGGAGATGAAACCTCAGCGTGGTGCGAGCCGGCACGCCTCTGCGCTTTTCCCGGGCGCTTTTGGCCACGACATGGACGAAGATGAGCGAGTCCAGAAAATGGGTGACTGCTAGTGAGCGAGGGTTGAGCGAAGCCATCCCTAAGACCCAGTCAGCCATGTCATGCGAAGAGGCCGACTGCATTCTCCGAAAATAAAACTCAAGCTTCGACTTGGCGGAGAAAGCTTGTCTTGGCCAGGACGCTTTTTGGGACATATTATGCTATGCTTAGCTTCAACATGCTTCAAACAGCTTTTCACCCACACCAAACTGCCAAACAAAAAAGAAGCTGGCACGCAAGTCGCAGGAAGCTGTGCCGGGCGACCGTCGTCGTTCTCATCGAAAACTTTGAAGACTGCCTGGATCTTGTCGTCCTGCCAAGTGACAAAAAGACCCGTTGGAAGAAATAGTTTACTTAGCGTTTGGAAGCAACTCCCAGACTAATTAAGCCCCCATCCACACTGCTAGCCATTCCAAGGTGTTCAAAGCCGACAGTCCCGCCTCCGACCCTTTGCAGAGCAGAGAGATTCCACACACTAACTCCATCATGTCCTCAGAAAAAACACCCTTGAGCGCCTGTTGGAGGAAGAAGGGTGACGCAAGGGTGGTAGGGACCCTAGGAACAGGCCGTGATGAGGAGATGTGTCGTCCCTGTCAGGTGTCGGTGGTTCCATTCGTGCTACGCAGGCGCAACTCGATCCCCCCGACATTCCCACAGTGGGAGAGAACAAAGCCACACAAAGCTACACAGGCTTCACATAGCTTTCATTCCTCCTCTACTGCTACTGTTCAAGTACAGCCGTGGCACGACCACATTGTTGTCATCGCGATCAAACCTCAAAGAACCGATTGAGTGGGCAGTCCGGCGAGCGATGGCGAGAAACCAGCAAAAGCTCGTTGAGAAAACCAATGGGCAAAGGATGGCAAAGGCCTTCCAAACTTGGCCACTACACAACCTGCGGTTTCTCGCCCCCTCTGTTAGGACGTCATCCGGGCTCACCGAGGCACAAGTCAAAAACGGCATTCTTCACTTCATCCGAGGGCACCTCCACCTGCAAGGAAGGCGGCATCGCGGAGGAAATAGAATAAAGAAAAACGAGATAAGAAAGAAATATGATGATCAGAGCCCGCGATTCAAATGAAATGCTCCTCAGTGGTCCCCTTAAACAGGTAGGAGAAGACGGAAGCTATCAACTTGAGCGAGCATGGGCAAACTTCACTGTCAATTGCTGTGCTCATCTCACCCCGAAATCCTCTTGGTCTTCGCGCATCTTGAAACAGATTCTCGGTGCATCATGCTGTCCTCAATCAATTCGGAGCCCACCTGGTGTTCTTGGAGCAAGCTGCTGTAGACTTCCACGAACTTCTCCCGGGTCAACTTACTAAACCTTCAGCGGAGACGGTCATGACTTCTTCAGCGGAGGCGGCATAAAGCGAGAAGAGCAATCAGGCCACCCCGACGCCCCAACACCTCGCATTGAAGAGATCCAAACGATTCCCAGCAATATACACCCCATTGGTTGAATAAACCTCGGGGTAGCTTGAAAGATTGAGAGACACCTCCCTACTTCGCGACGTGGGCCTGTGACATGAGCCTGTGCACTCCGCCTGGACCCCAAAACGTCACGGTTCCCGCACCGTCTGTTGCGACAACGTCTGGGTGGAACATGTTGGGAAATGGCCAAGATGCCCTTCACCATCAGACAACGCTCCTCCCTTCTTGAATGCCTGGAACAGCGTTCGCAACGAGGCAGTTTGGTTGTTGAGGTGTCACGCACGCACACACTTACACACACACAGAGCAAGATCCAACCATGAGGTTCCCTTGGTTTGATGATGTAATGCTGATCGTTCAAACATCGGGTGGAAGTGTTCGAGATGTGGACAGGCATATGTGGAGGCTCCAAAAACCTATCCACAAACACAAAGAACTATAGACACGCTTCAAGTTGAGAATGCCGAATGCTCATGTGGAGTGGTTTCTGGCTCCTTTCTCTGCGCTGCGTCGTGGAGTCTACTTCCAGCCCCCAGTATTTTTGAAAAAGGAGCGGCAACATCACCAACACTGTTAAGGGATGTTATGAGTCTTAAACTAACCCACAGAAAAGACTGCAGGTTGCTTGATGTTGAGATTGCCCTGATACACACATCCCCTGCCTGCAGTCCATCGTTCACTGGGATCTCTTTCAAGCCACAGGTCTTTCTCAATTCCTTCCTGAGATGTGCAAGCAAGTGTGTCAAAAAGAAAGCTTGTGGCGAAAAACTCTAACTCTAGCCATTTTGATTGACGATATGCATTGAGATGATCGGAGGTCTAATTACATGTATAGTTGCCGGTTTCTGTTGGTTCATCCTGGTGTCTTGTTGACACCCGCCCCAAAGCCCTCCTCCCCATGAGAAAAGAAAATCAACAAAGAAACTAACAACAGCATCTCATCAGGCAAGGTCAATGCATTCAATTAATATAGCAATGGCCTCCAACCTAGTAGCGATCGATGGCCTCCAACCCGAGTTCACCATTCGCCAGGTGTCAAGTTTTGGAGTTGTTCATCCTTTTCATGTTTCGTCTCATAGGCACTCTGCGAGTACGCGGGGCCACCGACGGTATTCGGCCGTGTGGTCACCGTGGTAGTCTTGGTGAGTGGTAGAGTCGCCTGAAGCAGCGGCCGAAAATAAGTAAAAACAAGAAGAACGATAAGTTGAAAAAAAGGCCAACATGATGACATGATCATATCCAAATGCGCAGGAGTTTCTGGAAACTGAAATCTAACTATCGAACAGTATCGAAGAGTGTCCTCCAAATGTCTCAAAACCATCCACCATCCCAAACCAACATTGTCAAGTGCTTCTTGCCCTCTCCCATGTTTCTACTTCTTGCCTGTGAAGTTCGCACAATACGGCTTTGCACCACCGGAGCTCCAGGCACGCCGGTGAGGGGTGCCTGGATCACCCGGCCCTGCGGCACCGGGCCGCCCACGTAGCCGCCCGGGTAGGTCACCGGCGCCGGCGCCCGGTACGTGACCTGTGGCGCGCCGGGCGCGCCGGGCGCCACGCCGTAGGGCACCGGGCTGGAGACCACCACGGGCGCCCCCGTGGAGATGGTGACCGGGGCGCTGATGCTCACGGGTCTCACAGGCTGAGCCATGGCCACGCGGAAGGTTCCGCGGGGTTTGGTGGGGTGCGAGGACCACGCCGACACCCGATGCTGAGAGCCCAAAGACAAGGTGTGGAGGACAGATGAGGACAGCAACGGCAAAGCTCTGGATTGAGGAATTTACTTACCATGCAGTTCTGGCTCAAAAAGGACGGATAGCATTCTCACCCACTCCTTCATACAGTTTGATCTGTTTTTTTGCTGTGCACTAGTTGAATGAACTCTGCACAGAAACTGGCCTTGAGTCGACTGAAATCGATTTGGATCACATCCTCATTCTGTGACCTCAATGGCTCGGAGAAAACAACTCTCCCGTTGGGTTCCTGAGATCGCCAGTGGAGTCCTCACAGGAACTGAACTCTCAGACGGCGAGTGCTGGTTGAATCTCAGGAACTCGCTGCCCAAGGTGTCGTGTTTCGTGTCTCAAGACCATCTGGAGGGTCCAACGTCAATCAACCCACTGTAACAGCAGTTAGGGATCAAGAACTTGAACAGATTTCCAAAGGAAGCCTGCTTTTGCCAGTGACTGATTTCATCATGTTTCATCATGCTTCATCCAGTCAGCCGTTTCACATGACATGTCTAACACCCAAACGAGCTCCGGGAACGAGCTCCGGACGCGATCTGCGAGGCAGCCGCACGGCATTGGTCGGACCTGGGAGCCCCCCGGACGTGGCGGGGGAACATGGTCCACCCAGAGTCGACCCGGGGAGTTCATGAAAGTTCATTTAGTAACAAGAAGCTATTAGTCACAAGTGCATCGCTACTAGTAACAAGTGCCTTACTAGTAGTAACAAGAAGCTATAAGGACCTTCCAACAGGTGGTTTTTTTAGAGTCGACCCGGGGAGTTCTTTAATTCTAATTTGTTACTAGCTACTAGGAACGAGTGCCACGCTAGTAGTAACAGGTGCCTTACTAGTAGTAACAAGAAACTACTAAAAACAAGTGCCTTACTACTAGTAAAATTAGAATTGTAATTACTAGCAAAGGAATCTACTAGGACCTTTTCGTTACTACTAGCTTCTTGTTACTACTAGTAAGGCACTTGTTACTAGTAGCGATGCACTTGAAGTTCATTTATACCAGGACCTTCCAACAGGTGGTTTTTGGATACCCCGAAACATCTCTAAAAGGCCATGTATAGACACCTCTTGGAAGGTCCTGGTAGATGGACTGTGTAATTGATCCCTCCCTTTGGAAAGCCAGTGGTCCAAAATATGTCGAAATCCCACGGCACATGCCAAGGAGTCCACCCGGACAAGTCTGATTCATGGTCACACACCGAGACGAGACTCATGGGAGACCCTACTTGCTTAGACCTTGGTCCCTGAAACCGACCTCCAGCATGGAGTTGAAGTCCTAGCTCATGGGGTCCATAATATCCCATAAGTCCCATGCGTCCTTCTGCCGGGTTGGTCCTGGGGCCTCAGCAAACACGGCATCATCGCCAAGCCCATGGCATCCGAGAAGGATTGTAAGGACATGACTCCAACGGCTCCGTTCCAACGCAAGAGGCGAGAGTTCACCCGCGTTGCATCAATGACCTCATCTTTGTTTCACTAAGAGTATCTAAGAGTGAACGCAGAATCATTAAAGAGTCTTTGTGAAGGGTTGTTGCCGAACCATGCTGAACCTTCGTTGCTTCTTCCTGGCTCGATTTGTACTGACCTCATTCATCCTTAAGCCTAAACAAAATTGGAGTTCCAGAGCAGGCAGGTAGTTGGGAGGAAGAAGGACCAAGCCCATGGTTTCCCGCAAACATTGCACACGTTTCCACGTGGTGGCATGGTGGGAGGTGCCTTCATCACACTCAAAATCACTCAAAGCAACCAAACAAGTGCAATGGGAGGAAGATGGAGGAAGGTGTACTGAGGGGATGACTGACTAAAGAGATCTCTCTTTCCCCAAGGCCTCCAGTAGGCATCCCGTGCCCAAACCAGGCAAATGCCGAATCAGTGGATGGACTCCTGCCAAGAGAAACTCGACATGTGGCGGGTTTGTCTGAACATCCTGGCGGGGTTGCGGGTGGGTTTCAGAACACTGCCCAAAGATGCCCCAAGCGGCCTGCAGCATCCGATTTCCCTAAAATTCAACCACATAAAGCACATTGCATGATATTGCATGTGGAAACCCTGTTTTAGAGGAAAATGTTCTTCACCATGGCCATTGTCCGCTTTCATGTTAGTGAGTCGGAGTGTAAATCAACCGGCTGACGCCACTTGCATTCCTTCATGGGCTGCAAGTCTAGGTGCTTCGCGTGCCCGGAGGGATTTAGAAGGGCAACGCCTGATCTGCAACCGTTTTTTAAACCAAAGCACCGAAGTGGCTCAACCTGTGATGCCACCCTGTGACCGTGACCTGTGATGCCACCCCGTGACATGTGCCCATTCTATTGCAACCCATCCCTCCTTGCAGAGTATCAGTAGTCTTGGACTAGGTGACTAGCTGACTCGCAACAAAAATTGAAGTGGCAGCAGCAACTTGTGGCCCTTCAACAAGTGAAGGATCGGATGGTGCCTCTGACAACAAGAGAGGGGCTCTGAGTATCTCTGAGTAAAACCAAACAAAACGTGCTGGAAAGACATTTACGCTAGCATAAGCTAGCCCTCAGCTGTGGATACTTCTTTCCATCACACGCGAATTGTAAGGGACATACTTAAAAGTTCACCAAGTCGTACAAGCCGAGAAAGTGCAGGACACCGAATGCTACCGCCACACAGGCCTCCACTGAAAAGGCCACGTGTGCTGAAACATTCGCCTGGACAGGCCATCTGGATCGTACACACCAGTATAAGCTGCCTGGAATGGCCAAAGATGAAGGCCATGATGCAACGATATGCAATGCATGTTGGATCAGTTGGCTCAAAACAAATCCCCTTTCCTGTGACCAAGGCCCAAGGCCTGAGACCTAGCAGACCTAGGCTTCATCGCCGCATTCGGTGCACCATCGCCCACGCGAAGGTCCCGGCGAAGTGCAGCGTACTCATGCGGAGCCGGCTTTGTGGCTGCCAGGCTGCCAGGTGCAAAAGGGTGCAAACAGTCTAGAATCCACGTCGAGATGGGTCAAACATGAATTAATGTGGAGCTCAAGTTGGCATTGAGGTGTGCGCTTCGATTGGCATCGATCATTTCCGCCCAAAACAGCCGCTTGCTCAGCGGCTGCCCACTTGATCTCACTCTCCACGATTTACTCTGGGCCAAGTGGCACAAAACATCAACAAAAGCGCCTTGTTCTGTTTGGCCGTTTGGTTTTCAGCTACTGCTACGGACTGTCACCGAGGGCCAAGAAGCTCAACAAACAGGTCACATGCAAAAGCTGCTAAAGACTGCTCGAGCACCTCTGAATCATGAAGGGAAGCTGCAAGTTCAAAGATCCAAGGCATGGTCAGCATGGTCATCAGCTCACCCATCTGCAATCCTTCTTCTTGAGGGCTAGCGTCAGCACGCTTGCATGGAGTCGAGAACCGGTTCTTGACTCCAGGCAAGCGTGCTGGCGCAAACCCCCAGCCGTCCCAAACAATGAAGGAATCCAAGGCCAATGGGGTCCATGTTGTTGACTAATATGCAAGACTTGCCGAAATGGGTAGGCCAGGGACCTGGTCCATGGCTCTGCAGCGACTCAATTCTTCAGGCCGAAAGGCATCAGCCGTGAAACTGTTTGGTTCTGAGATGTGATGTACATATCAACAATTCTTCAACCAAGGTCCGTGGTAAGGAACCACAAGTTCTCCAAGGAACCACAAGTTCTCCAGGTTCCTTCCTTCTCCCAAAAACATTGGCCAAGTAGGTGGCGGCGATGAGGAGAAAGGAAATGAAAGGAACGGCCTGCCAGCCACTGAATGCTGAGATTTTTTCAGCACGTGCTCCCAAAAAAGTAAAGCCCGATCTCGATGATCTGCGCACATCGGGCCTGGTCACAGGAGTCATCAGCTAAAAGCCCTGGTAGGTGGTGAGGAGAGTCGCGGAAGTACTTCCCCCACCATCACAATCAACGGGCACCAAAAGGAGAGAAACATTGAATTTCCTCGGGTTCTTGTGCCAAAAGCTCCGGAAGTCTTCTAGGCACGGAATGGCTGAGCGCTTGATTGACGCTTGCTTTCTCAGATGCTCTGCGGCACGGAACAATGCTAATTCGAACAACCACGGCCACAGCCCAGCGGAGACCATGCGATACTTTAAATCTATGGGCTTAGATTCCCTCCCACTGGCGGCTTAGAACAAACCTTCTTGACAACTGCAGCACTGCAAAACATAACGGACAAGAATGACTCGTCCTCCTCGGTGACTTGCCCCTGACCTGCCTGAAGTTCTGAAGGCGGCTGGTCGTACGGTCGTCCGGTAGCAGTGACAGGTCAAGAAGATGCGCCACCTAATGCCACCTATCATCCTGCATCCTTCTCTAGGTAGGTCGCTGCAGTTGCATAAAGCTGTCGCCAACCACGTGACAGGCACGACGGGCGCAATGATTCGTCACAGAAACAGGATGATGCCTACATCGAAAGTGCGACACGTCCGATTTCTGGCAAAGACCTCTGATCACATCGTTTAAGTTGAGATACTGAGGCCCCAGTCCCAATGCTTCGGCTATGAAACGATCTTCTACGACCCTCCGCCGCTCCGTGCCAGCCCCGAACAAGCTTGGCCGGTCGATCTGGGGAACCTCTGGGGCCCGGGCCATCAGCAGGACTCCTTGGAAGGAGAACACGGTGGTCCGGTTGGCCTCCTTCCCTAAGCTCCGATGCATGGCAAATACCGTGTACGTGCAGCTCAGCCGCAGAAGAGAAGTGCACTCAGAACCCATCACTTTCTGCCACGTTTTAGTTGACCAAACTGACAAAACGAAATGAGTGAGGACGGCGTGTAGTCTGATCAGGCATCTTCGAGCTCTTTATTCTTTGGGCGCGTGAAGTATGCATTGAACTCATTATCTAACTCATCCAAGTTAGCGGTGCTTAGCTGTGCCAAGGCGTCACACAATTGGAAACGGAAAACACGTCCCCCTCAAGCAGTGATAGACTCTGATAGACCCCGCCCAAGGTCTGAGAACCCATAGACTGAACGGTGCACATTGAAAAGGGTTGGAAGAGACGTGGAATGTTCGTATTTCGTTCCACAACTCCAAGGCTACCATTTGTACTGGCTTAGATGCGCAGTTGCCCTTCACTGTGTTCACTGAAGACATGTAGTTGGTTGACGGGAAGGCTCTTTGATCCTGCCCAGGTGAAGCACAAACAACCATTGGCACCGCTGCTAACTTGGATCCAGATCTTTTGTCATCCAAGCAATCGAAAAGCTAGCCCCCTGGCATGCCAGGCATGCCATGCAGCCTAGGTGGGTCAATCTATAAGCTCCTGGCTGTTCCAGGATACCTATCATCATCCTCATCCGAAGCCGGGAATCGCCGACCGGTGCGGAAAGGATTGGTCCTCGTGCAGTGAGGCAGGGAACACGGCAATCGGTGTAGGGAACACCGCTGAGCATCTGGCACCAGAATCAAGCCTGTGAATGCAGCTGTTTGAAGAAAAATAATCACTTAACATCCTGCTCAAATCACTCCTCAAGTCTTAATCTCCCCACGCTGCGCCCTTCCTCCTTCGACTCCAACTGAGAAAAAACACACAGGCACCCGGTACCCCATGGGTTTAGGGGTCCCACCAGCCCCACCAGCGCCCGATTTCGGACGCCCACGAGCGCCACGCCGTGGCGGTGTCCTCAAACCCAGCTCTGCCTCTTTCAGCTCCTCTTCCGTCTCCTCCTGAGGACCCAGCCCATCTCAAGGACCCAAATGGACTGAGGAGAGAGAACTCTCCACGTTCAACTTCTTCTTTCTTGACTGGCCCTACCAAGCACCTTTGACCACGACATCAGAACGACACATCACATCAACTCTTTCAAATGAGGAGCTTCCACTGTGACTCTGAGCTACGTCTCGGCCTTTTTCTCTCACTCCCTAATTCCAACGGATTGCCACAAATGCCAGAAACATCTTCCCCAACCTGACCAGCACATCAAACGCTCCCCCCTGCCTCACACCCAAGCTCTCCGCCCTTGTTGATCCCGGATCCCAGACTCGGGCCTCGAAGGTGGGCATCGAGGATTCTTGAGGAGTCCTCTTGGCCAGCACGTTGGGCTCGAAGGGCCAACTATCGCATCTGAGCGAACCACGAGCGAAGGCGAACCACGCCGAGCGAGCGAAGAACTGGCCCAAAGACGGTGTGGGGGCAGCGGGGTTGCTCAATGGCAACGAATTTTTGGTTAAATGATTTGAAATTACATGTTTAAGTCAAGTCTATCATAGTCTATCCATTCTTCTAATATGTAAATCATGTTTTTCTGAAATGTTCTGAAGACCTGTCAGATACAGGGTTTTCATTTCTCATCTTCGAAGCAGCCAGCAAGTGAGCTTCTACCACGCTCATCGTCTTCGTCTCCATGCTCCAAGGCACACATAGGGATTCGCCACGGCCGTCCCCACGTCGAACATCTCTGCACCATCGTCGTCCTGGGTCTCCAGAATGGCGGCGGCATGAGGGCTGCAGAATGGCATGAGTGTACACGTGTGCACACCAATACTTCAGAAGGTTTTTGAAGTTGATGCCTCATATGCCTCTCGACATCTAGGGTGCATGCCTGCAAGCCCATAGGATTAGATTTGCAAGGCAATGTCCATGATGTTCATGGCTTGCGGCAGGCAGCATAGTTAAATGTCAACACATAAGCCTTTCAGGTTTGGAAATCCGACCGCAAGATGTTGCACACATGATAGCATGTAGGCTTGGAAAAGGGTCCCAAGGGTTTCTCATGCATTGCACGTCAAAAAGGCACAACTTCCCGCATGCCGGTGGATTTGTTTGGGAGTTCAGAGAACTTGCAGCTTGGTTGTGAGCCACCCGTCCCGAACTCCTCTCAAACGAAAGCAACATGGCTCCTGACGAACGGAAGACCAAAAAAAAGAGGAAGAAACAATACTCGGAACGCAAATGAACTTTATAACGTCGCAGATGTGAGTACCGATTCCACATTTCAACACTCAACACCTCAGCAACCACACCTGCAACATCGCTCCAGTCACTCTCCCATCCGTGTCCACGTTCGTCTCTATGCAGACGCCACCAAGTTGCGAGCGTCGCCGGCTGATGCACCAGCGCGATCTCGCCCGCGCGGTGCCGCGCGATGGAGCGTCGGCCGCCGTGCGCGGCGATGCGCTCGCTCTGCAAGTAGAAGGCCCTCTGCTGACGAGCCTGTGGGTGGGTGATGGGTGAGGACCAAGGTGACCAAGGCGTAAAAACGTGACTGTATGACGTATCGTGTTGTGTAGTTGATGCAGAAATTTTGCCAAGTGGGCCGTTGGGCCGGCTGTTAGCCCAGAAAGCTGGGCAAAGTGAAGTTGATTCGTGCAAAAGTCAGCTTTGCTTGGAAGGTCATGTTGGCTGTACATTGGCTCGAGGCAAAGGAGAGCCGCCTAAGCAGTTTGAGAGGAGTTTGAAAACTCACTAGACTGGCCCTAGACCAAAAAAGCAATCATGACCCAGCACAATAGGTGCATCCGGGCATGTTCAGTCTTTTTGTCTGCATCTGTCCGCTGGTTGTATCTTCTAGAGGGCATCATGAGGGCCATGTACAGGAAGAGTCTCAGGGTTGTCTGGTTTAGGGTTGCCTGTATGCAAATGTCTTCTGGTTGGATGCTTCTCATAATGATCCTCAAGTGGAGCCCTGTATCAATTTTCGGGTTTCATGGACCATCCATCCATCTGGGCAGCTGACTACGAGGATCACGAGGCAAGCAAAATGCAGCCAAGCAGCAATCGCTTGATAGAAGGCCGCTTGCTCCTTCTGTCGGATGGTGTCTTTACCCATCTTCTCGACTCTCTCCCTCCTTTTGGAGAGGTGAAACTTACATATCCTCACGAGGCAGCACACAGGAGATTCAGATTCATGGCAAAGCTGAGTCCGTGGCTTCCCTTTCCGCTAACTAGCATGGACATGCAAGCAAACATTTGGCGAAGAACTGATGCAACTTGCACCATTCTTCCACAGGCTCCTCCGGCAGCCATCTCAGTGGCCTTTCTAGAGGTTCTCGCTTGAGGGATTTGACAGAATAGGGACATCCAAAAAGCGTTTTAACCGAGACTTAAGACCTCATGATACCTCATGGCTAGCTTGCCAGAACCTCATCAGCTCAGGGAGGTGCGATGTCACAAATCACTTTCCCCAACAGCTGCACTACGAAGAGCACCGAGGCCACACAAAAATGCGCCATGAGGCAATGACCCGCCCTCCCTTAGCTCCTTAGACCATCATAGTATCATGGAAGCGCACCAGGACCCCTTTTATTCAAGAGAATGGCCAACAATAACCGTTAACCCTTCACCCTGTTATTTTTCGATGTCTTGCATCCCCTCCGAGGGTTTTCCAAACCCTCCCACTTGAACTGAGAATCTCCAAGAGCTTGTTGGGATTGGAGAGCATTTCCGCGAGTTTCAACTCACTCTCTGCCGCTTGCAGCTTCTTCTCCTCCAGGGCCATCTCGCACACCTTCAGCTGATCCTGCGGAGCCGGTTGGATCAACTGTTGGAGGTGGTCGTTGGCACCAAAAACCTGTCCGTTTGAGCGTCTGCACGTGTCAGTGTCCGCAGTGGAGTCCAAGAGAGCAATCAAGGCACAAGCCTAATACTTCACAAGCCTTTAAGCAGCTTTAAGAGCAAGCCACAACATCCGTTTGGTCAAATCTTGTTATGTTTGTTTTTTGTTCCTTCACTTGTTGTTTAAAGATCTTTAGACCGTTCTTTTCCATCTTCCTTTCTTTTCTGTTCGGTTCTTCTTTAGACCTTTCTACACCTTTCTTTCTTTTCTTGAAGTCTCTGCGGTGAAGACGCGACATCGACACTCCGCACGCCCAGCTTCAAAAGGCTCCTGTAGATGGCTAATCTGCTTGCTGCGTGAGGCCAGGGACTGCTCCAGGCTGGACAGCGTCGAGCGGAGGGTAGTCCCTTCCATGACCAGACCTCCAGGGCCAGGGTTCGGCATCACCAGTATCCAACTCTGAACATATCTGAACGCTCCTGAAAAATCCTGAAAAGTCTGTCCTCTTAACCAATTACCGCAACTCCCTGACTCTATACTGCATCCTTCACTCCGGACCATCCCTCGCCCCACCGGCCTTCATCCTTCTCAGGGGGCTCGGCACGGCCCTTCTGCTTCTCCGAGGGGCCGTACATCTTCAGCGGCGCCTCGGCGCAGCGCTTGGCGCGCCGCAGCGCCTTGGCCACCGTCTGGCAGAGCGGCGCCACGTCCACGGGCGACGCCGCGTCCGGGGCAGTGCCTCACGGTGCTTTCTTGGAGAAGGCCAGGAGAAGGACATCCTGTCTGGGACGGATGGAAGATGATGGAAAATGATGGAAACACCCCTACGTACTACGTAGAACAACCAGCCCAACAGGGTTGGGCAAGCAAAAGTTGAGAAGTCCTGCGACCTTGGGCTTTTTCAACCCCAATTATGCACTGGGTTTGCTGTCCTAAAGGTTTGATGACCAAGTGGCCGTTGGGGATGGCTTCGGCCTGATGCAAAGTGTTGCATAAGGCTTCAACCTCATCTCTGAGGTTCTTCAGGCGCCTCTGCATGCTGTTGCGCAGGACTTCATCGAAGTCAGCCTGGCGGTGGAACTCTGTCACGCGATGGGTCTGATGCATGGCGCTCACCAGCATGCCGTCAGAGATCTCTCAGAATCAGCGTGTCTTCGGAAACTGTGGGTGGGAGGTAGTATTAGTATTATGTGACAACTGGGGATCGTTGCATCGCCATCGACATCAACATGAACAAATAGTAATATCAAAAAGTGTCCTTTATGAGTTGTTCAATGTTTTTTCAACAGCAGCAGCGGCAGCCGCCTTCAACCTGCGGTGCAGCTGAGAAGAGCCGATCTCATCACCATCCGCCATGGCCAAGCACGGAATATGCAGGGGCTACAGCAGCTACAGTCCCGTTTGGATCCCAGGTTTCGGGAGAAGAAACAAATGGCGTGGTGTCACAGTCCATTTGGATGACGGTGTCTCATCTGTAGGCGAGGTGCTGTGTCAAGTTGGGTTCCAACCATTGGGTGGGGGAGATATTTCCGCTTTGACTTCACTGTGTGGTTTGGAAGTCAGGCTAAGTGAATGGCACTTATGATTTCCAAGCCATCTTGTCTGAAGCTCTTCAATGTCCAGCTTGCCAAACAGAAGGCACAGCAAGAACCATGAAAAACACTGATCAAAACGCACGAGTTTGCATGCTCAACGCGAGTTCCGGTATTTGGCGGATTTTTCACCATTCCTCCGTTCCCTGTGTCCTGCGGTGCATTCGTCGGAAGCGAACGTGTGAAACAACGCTTCGGGCCTTGGGCTGGAAACCAGTGGGAGCCCAAATCCTTAAAGACTACTACAGGGACGTCTGCCTTCAAAGGTGGTTGCAGTTGCTATGCTGTTTCTGTTGCTCGGCACTGGCCACCAGGACTCAAAAGCTGAAAATGATCTTGGCGTCTTGGACGCATTGACTTTATGTACAGGAACAACTTGGCAAACTCACAGGGCTTCCGAAACTGCTTGTGGACCAAGGACAGAAGCCAGCTTTCTCTCTCTCGCCTCAACCAGCTTGGCCACATCTGCTTTCAGTTCATCCATGTCATCAACAATCCTCTTGATCTGTTCTCCTCGTCTGCGGCGCGTCGTCGTTTGCAAAACGTGGCGTCGGTTGGTCTGTGAAGCATAGCAAAATGGTTTGATCTGACTTCTCTTTCGGACGGCCTAACCAAAGTTGGCGACACCAGCCCCGACCACTGTCATAATTGGAGCACCCAGCACAATGTTCTTTTTTGGCAAATCTCCGACCAAACAACCTATACATATAATATACAACAACTGGTTATTAATTATTATATGTGCACATGCTATGTACATATACACATGTTTAGAAGACCTGCAGTCTTCCATATCTTCTCTCCGCTTCTCAACCCAAAAAAACAAAACCCGATCATGCATGATCCGGTTCAACTTCGAGGCGACGGACTTCGAGGCTCGGGTGATGCGATTCTCGTAGCTCATCTTGGCGACCTGCAAACTCTTCGCCGGTCCCCGGAGCTGCCTCGGGTTCTGAGGGCGGGAGGTTCTTGCAGTGGCAAAGAGAGCTCGAAAAAACACAAACATCTGTCTACGGCGGGCGGGGATTCTCCCAACGGAACAGCAAAGATTGGAATGTGCACTACCAAAAAACCAGGGATGCTCTGTTCCTGAGGGATTGCAATGGGATGTTTGGTGCTTCACAAACGTACCTATCCCACAGCTGGGCCCAACATAGCAGCTCTGTAACACGACTAAGGTGCATGCAGCCGGCAACAAACCTTGGTGGCCAAGTGGCACGTGCAAACATGTGCGACACATCAAGACACCATCAACCTGAACCCTAAAAGATCTAAAAGTGCCCATCACTGATCCACTTTGGTCCACTTCTATCAGCCTCAGTGACTGCTCGATATCCACCAGCCCATCATCATCCTTGTCGATCAGCAAGAACAAGGTCCACACGTCATCCGTGGAAATACCCAGAGACTCCATAAAGGCACCTAGCAGCTACAGTGTCTCACCAGGTTTTGATCCACATCCACGTGGGCTGATCAGTTCCAAAGAGGTTTTCTCGTTTTCTTGGTGAACAACGAAAAAGAGGCGACCTGCAAACTTGAAGCAAAGCAAGAAATCTGTTTGTGGAGCTTAATTATGCTCCAATCCCGCTAAAATCCTCCGAGAAAAAAGGCAATCATAGGCAATCGGCAATCTAAAACTTCAGACCCACCCCAAAAAATGCTTAGCCTTCAACCCCAAAGGGTTTAGGAAAGACCTGCGTCACATCTGAGGCGCTAAGTTTGTCTTCTTCCATAGCGGCCGCCAGGTCTTGTGCATTCAACAAGTGGCCGGTGGCTGTTTCGATCTCATGGAAGGCTTGCCTTGGCCATATGCAATCATCTGTCTGAGCCACCAACCCTTATTCATCCTATGCCCTACACATCCCCACACCCGACGCCCTTCCGGCGCTGTTCTTTTGGATGGTGTCTTTTCAAGAAGTCCGGTCAAATGAGCAAAATGCATCCTTGCGAAAGAAGTAAAGGCTTACGCCTGACAGCCGGGCGCCAGCCGACGCAGGAGAGGGAGGAAGGTCATGTACTGTATAGGATGGATTGTTGTTGTTGTTGCTGTTGTTGCTGCTGGTGCTGGTGCTGGTGCTGGTGCTGCTGCTGCTGCTGTTGCTGTTGTTGTTCTTGTTCTTGTTCTTGCGGTGGTTCTGGTTGTGGTTGCGGTCTTTGTGGCCAGGTCGAACACATCTTTGGGCTATGTGGGGCGGTCTTGGGGTGATGTTGGGTCACGGTTGTATTCGGAAACTGGACGGTTGTATTCGGAAACTCGGCGGTTGTATTCGGAAACTCCACGGTTGTATTCGGAAACTCGGCGGTTGTATTCGGAAACTGGAACGGTTGTATTCGGAAACTGGGATTCGGAAACTGCGCGGTTGTATTCGGAAACTGGTATTCGGAAACTGGGGCGGTTGTATTCGGAAACTGGAAGGGTGGTATTCGGAAACTGCACGGTTGTATTTGGAAACTAGTATTCGGAAACTACACGGTTGTATTCGGAAACTGGTATTCGGAAACTGAGACGGTTGTATTCGGAAACTCCACGGTTGTATTCGGAAACTCATATTCGGAAACTCGACGGCTGTATTCGGAAACTGCGGGGCCGGAATCTCTCTCCAGTGCGTGTATCTCGATGGCAATGCCAGGAAAACTGCTCTGAACGGATTTTCTCACAAGCGCCCCAACACCCCCCA